AATACATTCATTTGTATACCCTTGAAAAACTGTTTTCCCTAAAAGCAACCTAAAATAATGTTGTAAAAAAATTATGAATTAAATTTCAACTTTTTGCCGACTTTAAAGTATTCAGTACCATATCGACATATAATTTAAAGGTATAAATAAAGCTATCTGTTATTTCATCGATTTTCTTATACTTAACAAATTTATACCAAGAAAACGTCAAAATGGTTTAGCCCCTTTAAGTTAGGCAACTCGCCAAACATGTATGTACTTGCGGTGCCTAAAACTGGAAAATCCAGTTTTTCCAAAATTTTTGGTTGAAAAAATGCATTAAACGCGAAACCATACTTTTTTTTACTTTTTTCTTTTGAAGGTCAAATGCATATCATGTTACAAAAGGATTTTGGAATTATCACGTGACCTTTGAAAGATTGCACCCGAGATACTCCTCGATCCCCAAGGCCACTATTACGATGGCAATAAATTTATGCGATGGAGTTTAATTGGCAATTATACGGATCCAGGAAACTTCAAATAGTAAATATACGCGTGTATTTAACTTCTTGAAGTTATTGCGAGAGATGTGCCTGGCGTAAGTAGGTATGATGTCATGGGTGACCTCACCAATGTGCTTTGGAATAAAATTTATCGCCTCACGTGCAAATCGGCCACTTTCGGTGGAAACTATTTGCTGGCTTGTGTTTGTTTCACCACGATCGTTTTGCTTGTAAATATTTGTGCATATACGTTTCTATTCACATATATAATATACTTTGTATATTTTTTGGGGGAAAAACCATACAAAACGGAAAAGGGCGAATTTACATTCTGGGCGGTGCTCCAAGCAGTGAGCAAATTACGCCATTTTTAAAGAAGGCACACGAATTTCGTGAGAAAACAATTTATCGACGTGTACGTTTGAACGTATTTACAAAAGATAACAATGCGCTTGGCCCGTGGCTTTAACAGCGGCAATTCATTACGATATATTTCTGAATTTTAATAATTTATCGTGACGCAGTGCACAATACATGCCGTAGTCGGCGATGCTGACTTTAAGGTAGAAATAATGTTTTTTTTTTCGGTTTTAAGTGGTCATAAATATTTCAGCAGCATATCTGATTAAGTAAATAATTAAATGGGTTCTGGATTATCTTGATGTTGGTTTTTTCTTGGAATATTGATTGTTGGACATTTTGCTTTATGATCCTTTTGTTTGGTAAAACTACAAACATTTTCCTAATTTTTGAAGACATTTGGATGAAGCTTTGTAAAAGTTAATAATCTTGTGCTTTTGTTCTTTCTATTAGTAAAATTTAAATAAAAAGCTAGAAGAGAAGGTTCCGTTTGATTGTGAGTGAGGTTTGTCTATTTGATTTAATTGTTTTTAATATACTTAATTTTTGAGAGTTGAACAAGATGATAGTATATTTATGATAAAATAATAATCTAATAATAAAATTGATCAAGATATTATTTTTTAATTATTGTTGATATTAATTTTTAATTGCACTGTGATCAGAGCCTAAAAATATGTTTTTTATAAAAAAAAATTAACTTAACACATAAACTTTAATACGATTCAATATTGGTTTAATAAAAGATTAATTTAGTTTCTAAAATTAAATTTAAATAAACTGCCTACACAAATTTACTAGTACAATAACATATGATAATGCTCATCTTACAATTAGTAACTTAAAATTTTAACTCACCTTGCAAAACTTGCGTTGAAATTTATTTGCAAAAACTTAAAAAATTTAATTTCACGTGAATTATTGATCAATCTTGAAAAATTTGTAACGCCTGTTTATTTGTACAATAAAGTGTGAAAAGAGGAAATGGGACATTTGCATGCCGCGAGCACGAACAATGCCTGCACAAATCACCCCATTTATATCGAGGGACCGTGAACAGACGCAATAAAAACGCACAAAGCAACGTCGAGCGGTTAGAAAAAAACGGGTTGAGCATAGAGGTGTGTGCTCGTTGATCGCAAGCGCGAGTTCAGTGACAGTTGATTGAAATTGATGCTCCCGGAGCAGAGCAGTTAATTCGCGGACCCACCCTTCAAGGGCGGAAGTCACACGAGACACGAGATTATAGCAGGCCGCCTTTTGTTGAGCAAAATGCGTCGCAAAGTGAGCGAGCTTTTGTGCCAAGCGATTCGCAGTTTCGTGTGTGAAGTTTCGGAAAAAGTTTTATTTCGTGCGTGTTCGTCGATATTATGTGCTTGGATACGACCAGCTTATTGAATTTTGTGTATATGGTCACGGAATTCCGCCGACCTTTAACCCCAGGTGTCGTGCGCCGAGCTCATCTTGTTGTTAGTCACATGAAACCGCATGAAAATCGGATTTGACAGTAGAAAGCTCATCGATTGCTTGATGCAATTTACTTAAACGGGAAAAAGCCTACAAATAAATATATCATTAAAAAAAAATTAAGATAAAAAAATGCTACAAATAACAATTATATCTAATAATCCTTCTGTTAAAACTAAATCTTTTTCACTATGATATGAAAATAAAAATAAATAGGATTTTAAATTTTTTCCTTGAAGCTGGAAGCTATTTGCTTTATAAGCTGTGATAAGCTGTTATTTTATTTCATTTTTAAACATAAAAGTCCATGTATAATTAATAATGTATAATAGGAATTTTTTAATATTTTTTGAAGAATTCAGAGAGAAACAAAATTTTATAAGATTAACAAATTTAATATTTTAATGATGCTGAAACATTTTAGAAACTGTCAAATTTAATTTATAAAATGATGAATACTTGGGGAAAAATTCTGATCTTTAAAATTTTTTTTAAAAGCATCAATGCGAGCATTTTACCTGATTTCTGTACCAGCGTGATTCATTCTCCGAGTCTCGCTCCCTTTGTACAAGTTTCCCGTCCAAATAAGGTGGGCGCCCTCGTAGGAGTCTCGCCCAGCAAAAAGTGCCAACCCATGCATATCTCCCATTCAAATTAATATTTTTCTCGTTCCCATGAATGTGTACCAGTTACATATGGTGCATGCAGTCGCTCTTGGGTGGAAAACTTATTCCCTCGCGATCTCGTATCATGTTCTTTAGAATTCCAACTTTTTACGACTTGGATTATAAACTGCAGTTTGTGAGTTTCAACTTTTTCGAGCCATCTGATCCAAGACTTTTACATCTACAAAACAATATAATTCTGCACTACTTTCTCGGCGTGTCAAGTGTTATATTCAAGGGAATGTAAATTGTGATATCAATTTTCTTTATTGAGGACGAATGCGATTTATTTGCCTAGATTGGACTGCGTCGAAAGTACACTATAAAAATAAAACTTTGAATGCTGAATCGACCGACAAACATAAATAGTGATTCACGCAAATGAATAATCGTTCAGGGGTGCGAAATAAAATGACGTAATCCAGTTTATCAAATGAACCAATTTTGGTAGTCAAAGCAAATAGTCTGTATTATTCACGACGAGGCAATAAAAGGCCAGCAAGTGATCCGATACACACCAGATTCTTCATAATGAAAAAATATGGTTGCAAATTTGGAAAAGTAGCACAGTTCTTCAAAGTGCTGAATGGGAAATGTAATTAACCATTGTAGAATGTGAAATTTTCACTTTTTAAAATTTGAATAAGACTGTTTAAGTCATTTACTGACTGATACAAGTAGAGTAGTTTATTGTCAGCTTACTCTAAAAATTAAATTTCTTTGACAGTTTTTAAACAGTTCAGTTTACGGTTTCCAAAATTACAAAAATTGACACAATAATCAAATTTTAATTCATCGAGGGTCAAAATTAGTCTTTACTTAAAATATTTTTACTTATCAAAAGGCTGCAAGGACCCAATAAATTAGCTTTAGATCACAAATTGCATAAAATTCATTTTAGGTGCCTATTTGGTCTTCTCAAGTCTTTGGAGAATACATGAAAAAATTCCCCTCTATTTATGTGTACAATGCATGAGGTGCAACGAAATTCTTCAGCGTCGGGTTTATGTGAAAAATTTATTATGCGGAGAGCGTAATCGCCAGGTTTGACTTTTGCGGAGGCGCGATGACCTAAGAAGGTCATCGGTTCCGTCTGCTGCAGCTTTTAGGTCGGTTCATGCAGGTACGCTAAATTAAGCACCTGCAGTGAGCCGACTGAATGTACATTGTCTTGCAAAGTAGAAAAACTGCGCAGAATTTTCAATCGGCACTCTCGTCACATCGGCACTTTGCTTATGAAAAGAGCGGATGGATTGCCCGTTTGATGGCGCCCGCGGTATTTCAAGGACTTTCAACGTTGCTCTTACTATGGCTGGACAGTATGCTGAGCAAGCATGGGGCAGACAGCAATTATTATGATATGGATGGATATGATAGTAGAGTATACTTTTCCGGCCGTGAGTCATACACGATGTCACGTTGTCTGCCTATACTGTGCTCATTTTAAAACCAATTTTGTCCTCCAAGCTTCAATAAATTTTAATTATCAATTTAAAAAAAATTATATCTTGTAAATTCCTAATTTTCCAATTTTTTTGAATCAGTTCATTGAAATAATCAAACATTTGGTTTCATAAAAATAATGAAGGGAAAATTAGTAAAAGAAAATTAATTTGCAAAAATTTCCAGCTTCAATAATTTTATAGCTTCAATCCTAACAGAAGATTGGATTGTAAAATAAATCTAACAATAAGAAGCCAAAAAATAACTTCTAGAAGAAATATCCACACAAAAAATAAGGAAAAAGCGGAGTAAATCGCGAATCGTGTATCATGAACTGAATGTGCCGGCCGGCGAGCGGCACTTTCTTTTTCTCTTTTTTCTCACATTCGTTCGTCACAGCCGAAGTCGACGCCCTTCTCAAAACAAAAAGCTTACGGGGTCCCAGACGAATTCTAAAAATATATGTTCGCCAATTTCTGCTAGGATTGCAAAAGGTGGTCACTTCATTATTTTTTCACGCAGTTTTATATAAATTTGATGTTACTTTGAATCCACTTAAACATGACTTTTTGACACATACCTTTGGCCATGGTTGAAGATTTTTGTCGAAGCGACCGGTTCGGATGATCAGCAGTAAAGTTGCGCTTGTGGGCCCGATGGGAGCGAAATGTACGCGAGAGTGAGCAGGTCTATGGTACACGCCTGCTTATATAAATGGTAGGGAGAGGAACGGACGCTCCACTAGGTGCTCATTTGGAGAACTAAAAGTTAAAAGTTACAAAGAGACGAAAAAAATCATTTCGTTGTTTGTTAGTTACCTGAGGAAGAGATGAAATCAGAGATCAGTCAGGATCTAAATTCTACAATATGATTTTTTGTTAAACTGAAAAATTTAATTATCCCAATTGCATTGTGGAAACTAAAATATTTCCAAAATATTGTGAATTTATCAGAATGTATTCTTTTATTTGAGGCTTGTATTTAAATGCATATTTTTTTCTAATTATTAAAAAAAAAACTCCAACAAGCAAGACAAGTCAAGTATAGTGTATAGTACAGTTTCCTAGGAATTTTTGGTCAAGAGCAAAAACATATAAAATACGCTTTTTGAGAAAAATGACCCTAAAAACTCTAAATGAATTTTCACGACTTCGACCTCCAACATTTTAAACAACAGCAAAGTTGCTCGGAATAAAAAAAAAATTATAAATTATAATATAAGTCAAAAACAAAATTGGTTTTAATAAAATCAATATGAGGAACATGGAGAAATAATATAACATTTTCTATTTTTTTCTTAAATATAGAATAATTCAAAACGTTTTAAAATTATTCTGTATTAATTGTTCTTTCTAATAGGGTGTTTTAAAGCTAATGGCGTATTCTGCGAGTTTTCGTATAAAAATAGAACAGTAAATTTTATTTTCTTTTCTTCCATTATAGATAATATTTAGTCGCTCAATGTTAATGATACTATTCTGATACTATTAAAAATATCAAGCAGAAAGCAGAATATAATATTGTAAAATAAAAATAAATTATGCAAATAATGTATATCAGCCTCGATTAATTTCCTTTATAGATATCTGTGCCATATTCCCATGGCGAGCAACCCTCTGTGCAGGGATGTCGTGCAGTTTGCCTAAGCACGATTGGTCCAGGCGATCTTGCAGCAGCGAGTCTGACTATGACTATGACGTCATTTCAAAGGGGTCGTCGTGTGTAGCGCGTAGTGGATTCGTCATCGATCATCGGCCTTGGCTCGTCGGGTCGAGTAAGCGAGTAAACACAAAGGCTTTTATACTCGCGCAAAATGCGTAATAAAAGGGTTAATTAAGGCTTAGAAGATGTGACCGTCGGGCGCGTGATGTGATTTTTCCTCGCCAATATGACCAACATTCGTCCAATGACTCAGGCCAAGTATCAGCTGCTCGTCGAAAGCAGAAGGTGAGAAAACATGAAAAGCGTGTCCATTAATTTGGAAAAGTATTGATTTTTACTACTATTTATTCGCGTATTTTGCAGAACCTTGTCCAATGCAAAGTGGCCTATTATTACTGTGACCTGTCTTGCCTTGGGGCTGATACTGGGATCGTTATTTGTTGTCCTGCAGCTGCTCAAAAACATCCAGTTCAAGTCTTGGTATGAACTGTCAGGTAGGAATTAATGTTTTAATTCAAAATATTAAATCAGAAAATTTCGCCCATTGATATCGTTTTTATTTATTAGTATTAAAAATAAAAGATTTACATAAAAAAAAGAATCTAGAGATTCTTTTTTTAATGTAAATATATAGAGCTATATTAATATTTTGGAGCAAAAAAGAATAACACACTCCACAATCGAATTAAATCTCCTTTTTTTCTTGAAATTGTCAGAAAATTTCACAAATATTTTCAATTTACATTTTTATGAGTGGCACTACATACTTATTTTATAATTTATAGACTTAAAATTTATCTAATCCTTTAGAAAATGCAACCTACACGAGCAAAAGGGCTGAGTTCTACGCAATGGCCTCGACCCATCCAGGCAAAGGCTTGTCCCAGATGTCCATCTTTTCATCCGAGCCAAAAGCACAAGTGCATCATCCATCGAGGAACTTCCTCAGGAGCAACCGTAGCAGTCCCTACCCCAGCATGGACAATCAGCACCTTGTGTGCTACTACGCCATCCACGTCGAAGACCCGTCCAAGCAGATGCAGCCGGAGGACATCGACCCCTTCCTCTGCACACACCTAATCATAGCATTTGGGCAGATAGAGAACTGCACTCTGCAGCCGCTTCTACCTGAGGATATGCAGATTTATGACAAGGTCGTCGCCCTCAAACAAACAAATCCCGCCCTCAAAGTGATGCTTTCTGTAGGCCAGTTGACCCCAGAAGGGGGATTTTTTGACCTGGTCCAGTCTGAATCAAAGAGGAAGAGGTAAATAATTTGACTTTTCGAAATGCATAAATTCCTATTTTGATATTTTTTAATTGGAAAGCTACATTTTTAAGAACTGAAAAAGAAACCATTTATAACCCCCTGATTTTTGAATAATCAAAATTTAATTTTTAGTTTCGCTCGTCAAGCAGCAGCGTTTTTGAATGAGCTGAAAATTGATGGCTTGGACCTGGACTGGGAATTCCCAGAGTGGCCTCCTCCTGGCCACAAAGGGGTGGAACGCGCCGCCCTGTCTAGTCTTTTGTACACTCTTCGACGCAACTTTCGAGGTGGTCGACGCAGACTACTCTTGTCAGTGGCAGTGGGTGCCCCGAAGGCCATAGCCGACATCTCATATGACGTACCTTTCATGGCAAAGTAAAAAGAAGAGCTATCTATCAATATGATTTATTTTTAAACTCAATTTGATTGTTGCCAGGTATGTCGACTTTGTCAACCTGATGACCTACGACTTTCACTCTTATGTGTGGTACCTGCCAGTGACTGGCCATAATGCGCCATTGTACTCCAATCACTACGACAAGGGTCTTTTCACCACCCTCAACACCAATTGGTCTGCAAATTATTGGCATGATCTAGGCATGCCAAGAAGGAAAATCCAAATCGGCATTCCAACTTATGCTCATACTTTTAGGTAATATCTTAATTTTTAAACGTAAAAGTTATTATTATTCTACAAAATATACATTTTTTTAACAAGTTTATTTCTCATTTAAACTATTTTTTAGACTTGTCAACCCTGAAAACAATGGTCTCAACGCTCCAGCAATTGGATTTGGTTCAATCGGAGTCAAAGGATTTGCACATTATGCAGATATTTGCAACTTCACCAGTCAACCTAACACAGGTGTCCGGTGGGATAATGAAAGTAAAGTTCCTTACGCATTTAACAATTATGATTGGGTGTCGTACGACAATGTCACAAGTGTTGAACAAAAGGTAATCTCTTTTTAATTAAACTGGCCCATGACTGAGTATTTCTTTCAGACGACTTTGGTCAAGTCGATGAATTTTGGTGGCGCCATGGTGTGGTCCTTGAGCCACGACGATTTCTCCGGCAGCTGCGGCCAGGGAAAATTCCCGCTGGTGAACAGAATCAAAAAGGCCCTGCACATCCGCCACTCGGACATCATGTTGTGACAAATGGAGCAGGGCTTAGCTAAAGCCTTTGGTTTTGTGCCCTACCACAAGCCCTAACTTAAAAATGAAGATTGGTTTACTGTTGATGTTCAGGAAATATATTGAAACTAATATTGTTTGAATTGTTACGCTTATCGTCAGCCAAAAACGAATTGCTACCTTGTTGACAAGCTTTCATAATCAAATAACTTTTAAATTACAGTATTTAAAATAACTTTGAATATTTATCTGCTTCTGGTGATATTGCAACGGGCTTTACTGGTAGTGTTCATATATGGATCAGCAGTGCTTTTCCAGCCAAAAGATTAAAAGTTTTTTCTGTCAAAGACTACTTGTCAAAATTGCTTGCTGCTTTTATACTCCGTATTTAAAGTCATTCCGCTGGTAGGTTATTCCGTATTTATCCCTAGTCTTGTCAGCAGAGTATTTTATATTTATTCCCTATGATATCAAAATCACTTATTGACTTTGTGACAGATTTGCTCAGCCTGCGCTATTTTACAGGCTCTTTTATTTTTATTACTGCTTGTTGATTTTATCATAGACGAAATATATTAATACAAATATAAAATCGCAGATACCCTACTCCTGCATGTACTGTTAGTGTGTTCTCAGAAGTTAATCATTAAAAGTCAGTGATAACAAAAATTGTAGCAATATCTTATCTATACATAAACTTGATGATATTAATAAAATTTGCCGACTAGACCCAGATGAAAATAAAATTTGCGCATGCCTTTATTATTCCTCTAAGGTTTAAAAATTATCATAATTATTAATGCACACACAAAAGATCGAAAATTATTTCTGTTAAAATTCAAAGAGTCATAAGAGAAAAAAAAATCGAAAAAATCTATCATTAAACAACTTCTTGCCCCTTCAAAAAGAATGAAGTAGAAGAATGGCAATACAAGTAATGGAGACCAAAAAAATATATTGAAACTGGACTTTACATTAATGAAAACCATATAGGTTGAATTAAAAGAAAAATATATTGTGCTCGTAGTACCGTTTGGACAGTGTGTAACGTAATTATGTATGTACTTTCACTCGCTTCTCGCTCGCACTTAAATTTTTGTAAAAAAAATCACATCTTAATGTTATTTAATGTATAAATAAAGCTGGTAAATTTTTATAATTAAGTTTAATCCCTCTTAAAGGACTGAAAATCAGTAGCCACAAAATCTTTTTTTAACTTTTCTACAACAAGTTTAGTACCGAAGGAAGCGCATCTCATCATTCTCATCTTAGATGACACGCCCCCTTGTGTACGTAGCTGTGCCAACATTAAAAAGTTGTACGAGTGTGAACACGCATTTTTTCCTCTTTTGTCGTAAGGAAGTTTTGAAATTGCAATTTGATCGCATTGCGTTTGCTATTTTTGACAATAATGTAGCACTCCCATCTTCTTTCGAAAGGAGGCCGTAATCAGGCTCATTCATGTTCGATATCGCGGCGATAAAAAGGTGTGAACATTTGTGGGTTGCGGGCCTGCGGCTTTTTCTAGTGCACTTTTTCTCACCCCCCACCTATTTCATCGTTTCTTTTCATGATCTCCCCACCTCTCAAATGGCTGACGGCAATCGATTTGTGATATTGTTTGAATAAAAAAGGACGCTGCTCACACTTTTTACCGTCGCGATCGGCCCCGACGTGAACTTTCAAATAATGTGAGTATCCGGCAGCGGGCGGCGGCGCCGCGGGTGGCGCCGAACGCGACGACGCCACGCAAATCGGCGTTTTGACCGAGCCAAACGGGTTGTTTGATGGTGTGTTTACCCCCTCTATGCTATCTCGCTTGAGATTGATAGATAGCTGCTCGCGACCGTCGGCGGACGCGGCTTCCTGTCCGAATTCCCCCTCGGACGCCATCCCGAAGCCCCTCGCGTCCCTCCGAAGACCTTCTCGCACACGTCGGCGCCGTCCGGCGCCTTCCCGAGAGGCCCCGGACTCGAAGGCTTGGTAATTAATGAGCTGTGTTATTGTGCAAGGCCACGTCGGTCTCGGAATGGAATACTCGCGAATCCGCCGAAGATAAAAGTTCTTGGGATCCTGCCTGCGTGCCCCGAGGGTTCCAACCACGGTTCGCCCTCGAGTAACACTGGCGCCTCGACCGGACGCCGACCCGTGTCCGGAGGATTGCCACCCACCGCGACCTTGAAACGCTCATCGACGCTCATCCTCCAGTTCCGACCACCCTCATTCCGCAAACCCTATTCCACATAAATTCGCAATTTTCCCAAAATGAATCATTGTTTGATTTTCAGCGTCATTTGAGAGTAAAAATTTGTACATTTCCCAAATGACCGGAAATTACTCTCCGTTGCACTAATGGCACATTTTTGCTCGGAAAAGTGCTTCCGTGGGGTTCCGAACGTCCCACTTGTGATAGCCAAAAATTCTCCTAGGGGTTAGATTCATAACAAGTCCACTTTACTGTTTGCGTTAGATTTGTTTATACCATTTGTGAAAACTATTACGATCGCTGATTTCAGGGCTATCTAAAAGGGTGAGAAACGGCCGCGGCGCGTTTTATTACTGGCGGTGATAAGCTGCCAGGCTGGCGTCCACACAAGGCGAGATCAGAGTGGGACCGTCCCACCAGGTAATAAACCGATAAAATTGTCATTCGATTGATTGCATTGTATGATTCTTGCTGATTTTCCATCTGTTTTTGAAATAATTCTGCAATTCTGTCACCTGAAATTAAAAGATGTAATCATCAAATTTTAGTTCTTTTTCTTTAGCAAATTGGTTTGGCAACAAATAAGAGTAAACAAATATTAACATCCCCTTGATTTTTTTTGCTGAACTAAGCTTCTTGCTGACGGTTATAAGCAACTTTTTAATGCATTAAATTTTCTGCAAAGTATTTGGTTTCAATTTTTCACAATTTAATCGCCATTATGTTTCTTCTTTTCCTAATATTTTAACTGTTAGTAAATTGAGATTCTACTTTGATGAGGGCCCGATTTGAGGAACGGTCAGAATTAAGTAAAAATTTCCTTCTCTTTTCTAACTACCCATAATTCACATCCCTTATTTGACATAACATAATTCTTTGACAAATTTAAACAGTTCTTCTCTCAAAATCTGATCCCATTTGAATTCTCACTTTAACTATTCATTCTAAATTCTTGTGATTTTGGTTCACAGGCTCGGTTGCCTGATATAGTGGTCGACAACGGTGTGGAGAAGCGCGTGGAGACACCAGAGAAAGTGCGGGAGGAGCTGCGATGGATGCCGAATGTGGTGGTGGACACAGATTTGCGCATGTTCTTGAGTGGTGCCCGTTCGATTGCTGCCTTCCAAGGTTTGTGTGACGGTGCGTCTCCTGAGGACGGTTACCTCTTGGCATCGCGCGACGATATCTCCCTCAACGCTCACAGTGTGGTTAGTTTCGAACAGTAGACCTACCTTTTAAAACTATGCAACCCTACTCACCATGCCCCTCTGCCCAGCTTCATGACTCTGGTTACAATCACGGCAAAGCCCTGGATGCCCTTGCGAAGTGCCCCGCGCCTGACGGCATTGACAAAAAGTGGTCCGAAGAAGAAACTGTAAGAGTTTGACAGCGAATTGTGTTTGTTTTTAATATCATATTTATTTAGAAACGTTTCGTGAAAGGACTACGCCAGTTTGGCAAAAATTTCTTCAGGATCCGCAAAGATTTGCTTCCACACAAGGATACTGTGAGTTATTTTTTTTTTTAATATTCGCTAGACTTTTGTCACTACATTTCAATATTTTTAGTCTGAACTAGTGGAATACTACTACCTGTGGAAAAAGACCCCAGGTGCCAACAACAATCGTCCTCACAGACGGAGACGCCAGGGCTCCCTCAGACGTATTCGCAACACGAGAAACTCACGACTCCCTAAGGAGTCGGATTCCAGTGAGTGTCGCTTTGGGTTACTCGTTGGGAAACTGCAGACAAATCAGAATAAACTTGACGCTTCATTGAATATGATGATTAATAAAATGCAAAATCCGTGTCTTGTTTTTTTAGGTGTGGGTTCGTCAAGACCGAGTTCTAAAGAGCAGAGCGAGGGGGCTGGGAGCTCTGCAAGCGAGGAAGAGAACTCTGAGGATGACTCTGAGGGACCTACTGGCTTCCAATGCAGCCACTGCTTTACGACAAGTAAGTTCTACATGCTCATTAATTTGCCGTCCTAGAAACATGTTGAAATGCTGCTAAACTTCCAAAGTTTGTTAAAAAAATCAATCTCCATTAAAACTATTATATATTTTTAAAAATATAAAAGTCGAACGTGGTTTTTGAAGTTTATAATTTTTTTTATTTTTTAATACATAAGCTTCACATGCACTAACCTGTTTGTTTTGATCATTTGTTTGTTTGTTTGTTTTTCTGAAGGAAAACTTTTTATATTATATTTATCTCCAGCTTCCCGTGATTGGGCGCCGCTCAACAAAGAGCAGAAAAGCCCAATTCTCTGCTCGGAATGCAGGGCGCACCACAAGAAGAACGGAGAACTGCCACCTGTCCCACCCGCCCCTCCAGGTGGCAGGGATTCGCGCGACTCACCTTATCTCTTCAGGCCTGTGCAGCCAGACGAAGCAGCTGCTGCTGCTGCGGCCGCTGCAGGAAGAATGAGGACTCGCACCAGAGTTAAAGAAGCTGTAAGTTCAAACGTGAGATAAGCAGATTGAAAGGGTTTTAACATTGATTATGTTTTAGCCTGCGAGAGGTGGAAGAAAAAGAGGAAGTGGAACGGACACTCCAGAGAGTGAAGCTGATAAGAAGTGCAAGTCCCCTAGCGCCTCAAGCAATTCTTCATCCCCAAGTGATAAAAAGAAGAAGAAAACGGAAGCTGCCAAAGCCCTCAAGCGAAGCCAGACTGAGATGGAAAATGAGGACGACAAGGATACCAGCTTTAAACGGAAGAAAGGAGACCAGCCTGAGGTTAGTATTGTTATGGATTTTTTAATTTGTCTGTTTACTAAAATTGTATTTGTCAAAATTTTAGAGTCCAGCGAGTAGTATCAGCTCAGACAGTGGCAATGTTCTGGATGAGGATGCGAATGAAAATGAGGGAGAAGCTGAGGTGCTCCCTGAGCCTGAAGTTGCCAGCTCCGGCTCAGGTTCACCAGTCATTGCCACTCCCTTCCCGCCAAGCACTCCTCCAGTGGAACCAGCTACTCCTGCTGAGAAGCCCCTGATTGTACCTGAGGACATCAAGAAGGAAGAACCTCAAATGGACGAGAAACCTCTTAGTGAAGAGGTTGAACCTCCTGTTGCTCCCTCTGAGGCCAAACCAGAGGAAGACGTTAAAGAAAAGGTTGCTGAAATTGCTCCTGAGGCCCTCATGCCTGTGAAGGAAGAAGCAACTGTAATTAAATTAGAGCCAGTCGACCGGCCTGTATCTCCTGAAAGGGAAGAAAAGAGCAGGCCCTCGATTCCTCCACCTCCCTCTCAACTGCTGGTTTCTTCTGGTCCTTTTGGTGGCTTTTTGCCTCCGGGACCGGCTTTTGCTTCATCTCTGTCAATGCCTGAGCAATCAGAGGACAGCATTAATCAGAACGAGCCGCAAAACCTGAAGATCAAGCAGGAAATCATCATTCCTCCCCCACCAACGTCGGACATGATGATTGACCCCTTGCAGCAGCTGAAAGAGGTCAAGGTGCCTGGCTACTCACCAACCAACCTTGTGTCCACTGCCGTGTCCCAACCCCTGCCTCCAAACAGCCAGTCTGTTGAATCCAGTCCCTTTTCGGCCCTTGACATTAAGAAAGAATTGGTTGAGCCCCCAAAATCACCCAAAGCAGCGAGCAGACCTTGCAGCCCACGAGGCTCTCCAGCTCCGGCCCAGGCAACTCCACCAATCAGACCTGGACACTCTCCTTTGGCTGGTCGGGCCTCTCCTAGCGCCCCATCCCCCTCAGCCACCAGCACAGCACCCATGGTGCCCATTTCCAGTGCAATGGGCATTCCGACCTCGATGGCCTCGTCTCCGTTCGTGACCCACCCTGCTCTGCTGCACCCATCACATCATCCTGCCCACCACCACGCTCCTCACCCTCTGAGCTACCACCCCTTCCATCCGCATCACCACCCTGCCTACCCTTACCCCTATCCCTTCCCCTACCCTTATCCACATTTGCCGCCTCAGCTGCCTCCGCGCATGCAGTCAGTGCCTCCGAGTGGTGCCCCTGATGCTGGACCGACGCCCCCGCGACAAGAAGAGCAACAGCCCTCTGCGCCCTCAACTCCGTCGTCCTCGCACAAGAAGCACCACCGATCAACCCCACCCTCAAGTGGCCACCACTCGTCTTCGAGTTCGTCGCACCACCACCACCACCAGTCTTCGGAAAGGTCCTCTTCAGGACATCACAAGATGTCGTCCCACCACCAGTCGCCGGGCTTGATGATGCACCCTGGCTCGCAGATGATGCCTTCGTCTGCGCCCTCTTCGCTCGAGAGTCTGAGGGCCGCCTCCCACGCCCTCCAGCAGCAACAACAACAGCAGCAGCAGCAACAGCATTCGCCGCAGGGACCCTCACCCCTTCATCCTCTGCACCATATGCAGCACCATTTGCCGCCACACATGTCGAGGCACCCAATGCTGCCCCCAGAGGAGCCTAAGTCTGAAGCTGACTCCATAATTCCTGAAGAAGAGGAGGCACCCAGTCCCAATCACATCCCGAGAGGGCCAAGCCCAGAACCCAAAATTGAGGACACTGAGTGCCACCGTAGCCAAAGCGCGATGTAAGTGTATTTTTATTTTTATAAACTAATGATTTTTTTATTATATTTGCATTAGAAATTTCATTTTCAAACCAGTTAGGCAAACTCAAATTTTTGAAGGTGGAATTGATTGGTAAATTGTAATTTTAAATGCTGCATTTTTGTTTATTCCGTAAAATTTTGTAGGAAAAATTATATTCTGAAATTGCGGCAAGTGGATTTGAAGGAATCTTTCCATCATGTCTTTGTTACTTTGTTTCAGATTTTTGCGCCATTGGAACCGTGGAGACTACAATTCTTGTGCACGCACAGATCTTACTTTCAAGCCAGTGCCTGATTCAAAGTTGGCCCGCAAGCGCGAAGAGAGAATGAGAAAGCAAGCTGAGAGAGAGCGAGAGGAACGCGAGAAAGCTGCTGCCCAAGCTGTAATTGTCAATTCTAATTATATACCAATGAATAATATAAATCTTTTGCAGAGGAAAATCACAACTCCTGATAAACAAGAAAACTCGAAGCCCCCCTCGAGAGGTCCAATCGAAACTATCACCTCGCCTTATGATCGATTTGCACCAAGACCAGGATATCCTGACACGCCAGCTTTAAGACAGTTAAGGTATTAAAATACTTGATTTTTAGTACTAACTTCACACTATTAATTTTTAGTGAATACGCCCGTCCTCACGCCGGATACTCGCCAGGTGGCATGCAACGTTCAGGTGGACCCGTGTTGGGTCTCCCACCCCAGTGCATGGACCCAATGCTACAGTACCACTTATCCAACATGTATGGACCAGGAACTAGAGAAAGGTATAATCTATTTTGTCTGAAATACATGGAATCTTTTACAAATATTTTGATTAGATTGGAACTGGAACATTTGGAGCGTGAAAAGCGAGAGAGGGAAATGCGGGAGCTGCGTGAACGGGAGCTCAACGATCGGTTGAAGGAAGAGCTGATGAAGAATGCTGTCGCCAGTGGAGCACCTCGCCTTCCTAATCCCCTGGATCCACATTGGCTTGATCTTAATCGCAGGTGAGGAAAAGCCTACCAACCGGAATTTTAAATTTAACATAGATTTCTGCAGATTACGAACTAAATTCTACAACATGAGGTTTCTAATTTCCTTTCTTTTCTGATATGCCGAACTAATTTTCAATCTCATCATTATTGTATAAGCTGAAAAAGCTGCTAAAATTGAGACAAGAGATTTTTTGTAATATGCTATTAAATTAATCCGGAAATATTCTGTTCCATTACAGGTATGCCGCAGGACCGAATCCCTCTGCAGCAGCAGCAGCCGTCGCCAATGCCACAGCAGCAGCAGCAGCCATGCAGCAGTATGGAATGTACCCGCCTTCCCTCGGCCCCGGTGGACAGGTTGCTCTCAGCCCCCTGGAAAGAGAAAGATTAGAACGACTTGGTTTGTTTTATGCAAATAAAACCCAAATCGATTTGAATGCCTTCATCAACGCAGGTTATGGTCGACCAGGCGCTCTGATACCTCGCGACCCCACCCTAGGAATCCCTCATCCTGCAGATCTGCTAGGTCGCCAGTATGGAGATCAAATTGCTCACCAGGTATTATCCTTGCCTCTCACATCAGACTGAGCAGTTCTAACTTTATTTCTACTGGAATGAAAATAACTTCCAAAGGGATAGCTTGATCCAGTCAAATTTAATTTGAATTTTTTTTTTAACACAATATGTGTTGTTTGAAATTTCAGTTAACAGCTCAAGCGGAGTTTCAGCGTCAGTTAATGATGGAACGGGACCGCTTTGGTCAGAACCCGATGCACCCTGCTTCCCTCATGGCGCAGCACGACGAGTACATGAGGTGAGTACGAAAATAATCCGCCATCAGCATCTTCCAATCTGGTCATCTGTGCCATTCTTCATTTTGGGCCCAAAAATTCTGAATATTGTGCAGACGGCTTTGCCAACATTTATAGAATTTGCAATTTGAATGAATGATTTCAAATTTTTGTTAGTAACTTTGAAATTTTGTATCTGTTCAAATAGGCAACAGCGTGACCGTGAAATGAAAGTAAGGGCTCTGGAAGAAGCTGCTAGAGGAAGTCGGCCCTGAGGCGATGAATGCACAAAGCGTAGGGAAAGAAATTAAGTTTAAGCGGGTAGCTAGGGGCCTAGTCTCGATTGACATCATGTTTGTATGTATAACTCTACGTAAAAATTAGTTGCACCTTCACTACTTTTCCCTTTCCCAGCCCTTGAGAAATATTAACACTATCAGTATAAAGAATGAATAGAGATAATTTCAATGCTGATCTAAATGTTGGAAATATTTTCTTGAATTTAGAGGACAAAAAGAGTAAAACAATACACAGTATGCGAAGAGAAGTAATATTATATCATGCATTGACGGAGGTTGTTGGAAACAAAATGGTGTACTTTAATGTAAATATGGGCAAAATTGACAAGAAAAATTTTCGACAGGGCTTGCGACAAAAATTATTATCTATTGTAGAGCGAGGTAGGACATATTGTTAAAAATTGTATGCACTTTTTTTCTTGTAATTGTAAGTGTAACGATGATGAATTTATGATTTTTACTCCTACGTCTGGAATCTAACGTAGAGATTTTTACCAACTTAATTTATTTTTAGTTAAAAAAATCATTTGTCTGTTTTTCTGACAAAGGAATAATTTATGTGTAATTTTCTGCGCAAATGAGGTTGTAAATATAATGGTATTTTTTAATCTCTTCTTGTGGCCAACCAATCAATCAATCTTGTTACTCGGGCTGATTTTAACAAGATATATTCAGGAATGCCATCACCCTGTTCACTGCGTTTATTTGACTAATCTCGCACCAACTGTGTTGGTGTCCATTCTATTTTTCAACTACATGAGTTTCACCTCGCAACTTGAGTAGGTAGAATTTTGCATTACCTCGGCAACACATTTTTCTTGCTAACACACAGAATCTCAATTTAATTCTAAAAGAGGCGCTTTCACTGAAATTCTAACAAAGTACAGAGAAATTAAATTATTAAAGAATCTACTACTCGCCTTTGATAAAGATGGACCTTCGGTAGTTGTTGAAATTAGCATCGTTGCAATAACCAAAGTTGAACAAGTGCAAATTACCTGGACTTAGAGAAAAATATTTGCGCGCGCGACCAATTCGGAAAGTTCTTTTTTTACTTAATTTCTGCTAAAAAAATTTGAAGGGGCCATGTTAAGAATTATAAAAAAAATTGATCAATCAATCACACACAAAATGTACACTCTGTCTCTGCAAGAAATAAAGAAAAGTAATATTTGTGTCCCTGATTTGACGACACCTTAAGTGGCTACAAATAAAAATACATGATGAGTGTTCCCTTTCACGCAATACTATATTAACAACTAATTAATAACAACAATAAGCAGTATTTTCATAGCAAATATTTTTTGTTCGATTAGTGATGAGTCACAAATCATGTGTACATAACAAGTATATTAATGAAAACAAGTGAATGAAACGTTGTAAAATGTAAAACTGAAAGAAACAACCCTTTGTCAACTGCTTTTCGGATCGGCGGCACCTGTGAGGAGGTTGCTCCGCTCAAACCAATAATTTGAGACTAGCGGACGCGGCAGTTTATTATTCGACAATATTGAAAAATGAAACAACCTGTGTGCGAATCATCTCAGTGCAATTTCTTATTTTATTATTAACTTATTATTTTGAGAAAATCTTGTTTGAAAATTTTTGATCTGCTGCGTTCAAGTCAAGTGAATCGTAAAACTATCAGACCCCTGTTAACAAGCGAATTGGTACAAGTCTCTCACAATGGATCTTATGAGTAATGAGTATGTAATGGAAAAAATGATGCATTTTTCTGCCGTAGAAGTGTAAAAGAAATGTAATGTACACAAAGCAGTTGGCTTAGATGATGTATCAAAAAAATTAAATCTTACTCGAAAAACCAAAACTGAGGGATCCATACCGAAGCCCCTGCTATTACGGGTCTATGGTCTCTTATTCATAACGTTTGGTTTTACCGAGAAAATTTTAACACAAAAAACTATATTATGGATGACCTGTTAAAATGCTACACATACAATTGAAAACTGGATGTGTGTAATCAAAAGAGAGCGAAACATATATTAGAATGAAAGAAACTATAAACAAGAACTTTTGAATGCGACTGGAGTTTTTTCACGCTCGCAGTCGAGACGCAATCAACAGCAAAAAGAATTATATAAAAACATGTAACAACAAGAACATCAACTGCGGTTAATTTTAATAGTTTTACTTAATTATATACAATTGCATAAAATATCACATATAGGATGAAGGATTTCAAGTAGGCAGAATCCTTTGGTTTTCAACTATTTATTTTTCTGTTTGAATGTGTTTTGACTGATACAAAAGTGAATAAAATTATTCTATAATCAAATAAAGCTGCGTTTTCACTCCTGCTTTGTCATATTACAAAAGAGGAAGCCTTGCACTACTTTTTTTATTTTTAGTCAACAGTCATTTGTTATTCTGATTTGTTCAATTTTTTCAGCCTGACTGGCAAGAAAATTGCTCTTTCCTAAGGTTTCTCCTTAAATGGGACGCTTGCTTTTTGGGAAATGTGCACAAAAGAATCGCCATTAAAAACACGCATTTTCCTTGACAGAATATAGCACCGGGGCCCTTCTTCTGTGACTGGAGCAGGAGCGAATAATTTTAATTAATTTCTTATACGAGCTCTTCACTTCTCAAAATGTGATTTGATATTTTACAAAACGGCGGTGTGTGCAAAGCAAAAAGCATCTCTCCCTGCGCTGGCAAACTTTTCCTCCGCACAGAAGAGAGACGTCGAGTTTTAATTAATCGCCCGTCATTTCCCCACACAGACGTGCTATGCCACCGCACAAAAAGCACAGGTGAATTATATTTTCCAAGCGGAGACGGTTTGCGGAGAAATATACATATTAAACCTCTGCTAGCGAGCGGCCCTTCTGGGGCTTCATTTTTATACTTTTGATTTTTATACATCTTCAAAACTCGGCAGCCAACTCACTTTTTGGACTAAACAAATTGTTTTAATTCTATTGGGAAAGAGGAAAAGTATACAATGATTTTTTGGAATTTGTTGAAGATTTATTTCTGAAACACGTGTGGCCTGTGGAAAATCGTCGACCTTGTGGAAAAAGAAAAGAGCCCTGTTTTCTTAGTTGCCAACCATGAGTCGCTTACATAAATAGAACAGACAAAGGCGCATTTTCGTTTGACAGATTGACCACGGCGAAAAAGCAGCCACACATATTATGGCATTGCAGCTAAGCTTGGAAAGAATGAAGCCCCACCAAGTGCGGAATACATATGCGCACATTTTTTCAGCCACAAGAGCAGTCTGTAAAAATGGTTTCAAGTCAGAAGCGTTCAAAGAAGAAATTATGTTGAGCTGAAGAAGCGGAGAATTAAAATTTTAATATATTAAAAAATAAAACATTTAAAAATACATACAAAATATTATTTTTCACAAATTTAAATCTTCAAACTGTATCTAAACAAAATTTTTATTTAAAAATTATTAAAAAATTAAAAATTTTGAATTTTGAAATGTAATCTTTTTAAAAGGTAATATTTTATTTATTATATAACACTCAATATTTTAAATGAAAATCAATAATTTCTTATATCATAATTAAATAAATAAGTATAATTTTTAATTTTATTATTAGTTCAATTATAAATTTGATTTTTTTAAATATACTTATAATTTTGTTGCTCATATTTTGCTAAAATTTTAAAGGTTATCCAACGCTTTAAATTTAACCTCTAATTGAAAAATCTCAAAAACCAAGAATTTTTTTCAGAATTTTAGTTCAAATACGTCGTTTTTCTTCATAACAAAATCAATTAAACAAAAGTGAAAGGAAATAAATGCAGCATTATTGCTTTGCATTTAATGGTTTGAATAAAAATGAACTGGGGAGTATCTGATGGGGGGTGGCGGGCGCAAGAAAAGAGCCCTTGCTAGGGCTTCTCCTCGACAAGAGCGAACATGATGTTGTGCGCAATCGGGCCGCCAGCGGAGAGCACCTCAAGGTGGCGGTCGCACCTGACCGAGTTCAAAATCATGGATCTGCCCGAGCTGGACGCCGGTGCCGAGCGCAGTCCCCACGTGAGCGGCGCTCCTCAGGGTTACTCGATCACGGGTCTCCTGATGACGGCCGCCAGCAACCCCTGCACCTCCGTCTCTGACTCACTGCTCTCGGCAAGCTTGCTCAGCGCTTTTGCCACTGCCCCCAATCCGTCACCCACCATCATCCAGCAACCAAAGTTTTCAGGTATAAACTTAAAATTTCCAAAGAATTGAAATTTAATTAAAACTGCTACTAAATTTTTTTATAAAAATAAAAACCATTCGGGTATATTTTGTAAACAAGGGAATAATTTGAAAAGTCAATTTTGGTTTAAGGCTCTATTTCTATGACGAAGATTTTTTTTATTTTAATTTTACAAGTTTGCCAGTTCGAAAAAAGATAAAATATGTAGTTAAAAAGTTAAATCTCATAATCCATCATAATCATACTTCAGATTAAAATCAAATCTACCTGGTTCGAAATAAAATTAATTTTGCTTTATGGATTTTTCATAATCCTGACAAAAAGAATTGTGATCTATCAACAGATTTTTTGAAATTTCCTTAGAGATTTTTTATTACTTTCTTCAATTTACTACATAAAAATTTACTTTATGAAAATAAATTCCATGCAGCAATCTTTCTCATATAAATATTTAAATCTAAAATAAATTAAATTAAATACATGTTATCTAAATGAATGTTCGCAAATAAAAATACGTACGTATACATGGAAAATTAATATAAATTCTTTAGCCAAAAAGTGATCTTCAAACGATGATAATCCTTAATCAAAAACTACCACTGCTTGCAACATCACAATAATTTGGTTGCACAATTAATTCACAAAATCTGAAAATCACCATTCCTGAGACAGAAGACACGCGACATGCACTCACACACTTCCTCCGCCAACCACAAAATAATATTTCTCCTTGGCCGAAGAGCAGATTTGCGAATCCGTGGCGCACTGACAAAATCCGGCTGACGACTGAGCGAGTCTGGAGAAGAAGGGTGTCCAATTCACTCAAACAAATGTAGTTAGTGCAACCCAATAATGTAATGTAAGCTAATTAGGTAAAAACGCGCGGCGCTCGCGGAGTGGGCCGCCGAGGCGAGGGTGTATGATCCAACTAGCCTAATCGAATTCGACGCTCTCTCGCCAAATGTAATAATACCCACAACACACCACGCCTTTATCCCTTTTGCACTATATTAAATTAATGAGTCGCACTCGCAGACACAAATCCATTTTGCCGTCACTCTCTGTGACCACACACCATCTTTGTCATTAATATAGTGTTTAACCACCACTCACTGGCTCAAAACAACAAACCGTGATCCTAAACCAAGAGGAGATTACCTATCAAGACTGTAAAGCCCTATAGTCTTTACTTTTATATCTTGAAAAACAGGAAGCTCTGTTATCTGGGAACGATTGAATAATTCAGGACTATAAGGCAGTTGTGACCTTTTATTTTATTAAAATTGGAGATAAAATTTTGTTTGATTTTGTTTATTGGGATGAATATGAAATATTAAGTATATAATACATGCAGGTTTACTTAAAAGCAAATCAATATTCACGCCTTTTTTCAATAAATAAGAACATTTTTTCATAGAATTATTGAATAATCTCAAATTACAACTAAAGCCGTAATTATGACTATTTGCTTACTACAAATAACTTTTGTTTTGTCAATTGCACAAAATATTTTGGGTCTAAATCTTTGATGTTTGGTAGTTTTGATTCCTTTTTTTAATTTCCTTAAAACGTTGCTTTATAGCAAAGAGGTTGTGTTAGCTACAATAAAATTTGTTCTTCATAATATGCTTCTAATGTACAATAAATTTTGAGGTTGAGCTACCCATCGACTTATTACACTAAATCAATTATTATAGGGTGATATGGTATTGATCTTGTGATATTTTCATGAAAGTTAATCAGAAAGATTTTAATTTTTTTTAATCCTGGACTCACAAGGAGGCAACTGTAATTTCAAAAATTCAATGTCCTCCAGTTCATTTTTTTATTATAATGTATCACTCAAATTGACTTATTGATTGCAAAAAAGCATAAAAAAATTATCATAAAAAATACCAATTATATATTTATTGGCTTTCCTGCTGAAGCCGCCCATTAAACCAATGCCATAGTTTGTAATACTTATCCAATTTGTTTTTTTATTAGCATCTAAAATATCAAAACCTTTCTGGAAGTGTTGAGCGATCATTTTATTGGCTCGGTCGTTGCCTCGATAATGTGTCACGTTAAATAGGTTAAAGTCGGCTTTTTAACTCAGCGCAACTTTGTACGACTTCTATAAAAAGTAACAAAATAAATTTCCTCTCTCACTTTTCGTGTGTGTTATACTTTAGGTTACGGAGACAGTCCTTTGGAACACTCGTCCAACAGCCAGTCATTGGCCAACGACGAGGAGAATTCGTGTCCAGACGAGGATTCCTCCTCGGTCCTAAGTTTCTCAACTCTTCCTGGAACGTCTGCCGGCGGTCCCATAAAGCGCAAACAAAGGCGATACAGGCAGGAAAGAAAAGATGAAAAATTTCAACCTTTCCATAATAAATTTTTTAGAACAACCTTTACCAATTTCCAATTGGAAGAATTGGAAAGGGCTTTCCAGAAAACGCACTACCCTGACGTTTTCTTTAGGGAGGAATTGGCCGTCAGAATCGATTTGACCGAAGCTCGAGTTCAGGTTTTTAAACCGATTCTGTTGTGGCAATAGATTTTTATAAAAAAATTTTGTTTGTCCCAGGTTTGGTTCCAGAACAGAAGGGCCAAGTGGCGGAAGCAGGAAAAGCTGGCCGTGAAACAGCAACAACAGCAACACCAGCATCATGCCCTTATCAACCACTCGGCCTCTTCGCTCGTACAGGGAATCCTCTCAATACCAGGCACGTATTTGCCAGCGCCTGCAGTTTACGCAATAGGCAACACGTTGCACATTTATGACGCGAAGGCTGCATACCTCGCAGAACTATCACAAATTTAAGATTATAAATTTTTTAAATAATAAATCCAAAAAATATTCTGAAAAATATTATTAATGAATAAAAATTTGAAATTAAATATTTGAAGGGTCACATACAGCTAAAGTTTAGTAGAAGAGATTCAAGAAAAAAATTTGGTTCCCACACAATAATAATATTAGATGCGGATCAGCGCGGATCTTTTTATAGTTAAAATGATTTTTCATTTTTTTTTTAAATATATAAAATTTGCGGAGCTATTTATTTTGATATTATCTTCATGATCTTTATAAACAACCCCTGCAATAATGGCTTTTGGCAGGACTACTTCAATATTGTACTAAAAAATAATGAATTAAATGTTAAAAAATTTAAAATATGGATACCCTAAATCCAATCTTGAAAATTTGTAGGTTTTTTTTTTAGTTTTAACCATTTATATTAATTTTTTTTATCAGACTATTAAGTAAACTTTCACTTCAAAAATTAAAAAAACTACAGTGCATTTCTCAAAACTAAACATTTAACTTTATTTTACACACACAAAACACTTCAAAATTATTCAAAATGAAATAGAAAAAACTAAATTTTAAATCTTATTTTTGGGAAAAAAATATTACACAAAAACTTTAAAAGTGACAAACTTTTATCATTTATTGATTCTATAATTTTATTCCAGTGTCACACAGCCCAGCTGGATTAATGTCTGACTCTCCACTGCTGTCGGCACAGTCAATGTCCTCTCTAGGAGGTATAATTTATTCGGACTTTCGTTCATTTTCAAATTTTTAATCTGTTCCGAAATTAAAGGAACAAGTCCATTGGGCTCTTTCAGTCCGACTCCTTCGGCAGGGATGTACCTAGGAATGGAGTGGCCGCAGCAGGGATTTTCTCCCCCGTTGCAACCAGCGTCTCCTCACTACGTGTAAATTTCATATTTATATCATTTATTTATATGTAGCTTTTTTAATATAAAAATAGATCGACTGTGCGAATTTGGAACCTCAGATTTATAAATAATAGAGACCAATTTTATTTATTATTTTTCATTCATATTTGAAGGAGCAAAGTTGCAACGCGCGTCGAAAGTCCGGAGCTGGTCGACTCAGGGACGAGTGCCTCCGACCTGCTCTTGCAAGCGGCAGGGGCGCACTCGCCCCCTTCGACACCCCATCAGTGTTCGGTGTCGTCGCCAGGGCCGCTGTCGCAGACACATGACCACCTACCTGACCTTCACGAACTTAAGGGTGATAATGACTGAGAGAGCCAATTAAAAGTGACAGGAAAGTTCAAGGGACAGCGACGTTGGTATTGATAAAATTATATCTCTCAATGTTCTCCACAAATGTTCTCTTCCTGTTTGTATAGGGGTATCTGAAAAGTTATCTCAACGCGTGTGACGAAGGGAAAACCAAAGTAAATGTATTTATGTTGAAAAAAAAATATTTATCACTGTTTTCAAGAGAACGTCAAAACTCTGATTTAAATTAAACAAATTAAGTGTAAAAGGATTTAGAGATCTTTTCTCTCTCCTTCTCTCTTGCTGATTAATAAAATCATTTAACTGTGCGGAAAAATACAAAGATATGAAGAAGGACTTGCTACGGTTAACAGTGTTGAAGAGGAATTTTTTAATTATATAATTATCTATATGTACAAAGAAATAACAATAAAATTGAAAATGAGAAAAAAAACTGTTTTACTTTTCTTTTTATTATTCCTCAAAAAATCAGTTAGTTCTTATTAGGCCTATTAATGTTTTGAAAATCTTTACATAAAGAATCATAATTTATAATCTGAAAAAAAGTACCAATACCTAAGTTTAGTTTTAAGCAAAATTGATTTAATTCATATATAACTGCCTAAAACTAAAATACCGTATCAGCTACTTTTTTTTCAAAAAAAAGAGGAATATTTACATGTATAATAATCTGTCATAATCCTTTATTTTTTATATAAATAGGCCAAAAACGCGAGAAATTATCTGCTGCATGTTGTGCTTATTTGATTCGCATTGCTTTAATTAATGACGCTCTCATCTTTTAGTAGCATTGTCATTTTTTAATAAAGATAAAATAATCAGAAATAATATATATACAAAATTCCAATATCCAATAGTGTACCTTTTAACTTTATTTGAAAATGTAATTCTTTGTTTATTAATTATTAAATAAACTTTGATTCACTGTTATGAAGAATTAAGAAATAATATTAATCGAAACTAATTCATTTTTTTAAGTAAAAAAAATCCGGTGAAATTCCACGGTTCCCACATAATAATTTGTAGTCCGAGATGTGTGTCAAAGAGTTAACGGGCAGCACCGCCAATAAAACGAAAAGTCGTGGTCAGTTGATTCGCGGGCTGCTGAGGCGGTGAGAGCGGCGCAGTCGAAAGCCAACCAACCTGCCAACTCATTGCAGTGTGCGGGCTGGGGCTTGGTGCACATTCCGGCCACCAGCGGCGCTCACGAGCCATTCAATCCGCCGATTAATCTGCTGCGCTCGTCTCTCGTGTGGTGCTCCTGAGTGAATTTCATCACCCAGTGGATTCGCACTTGTCAAGGTAAGCCTTTTACGGCGCCCTTTCGGCGTCGGCAACGTCTGCAAATCGGCCCTAACGAACTTTGGAACGTTCAAGTGGCGGCGAAACGGCGAATCACGTCGGCGAACCGGTCAAAAGGGCGATTTCCTTGTGCAAGTCGCGAGTGCCAGAATGATCGGCAGCCAGTGTCCCCATTTTAACCTTGGCTCGCCTCCTTCATTTTGCCTGCCGACTTTTACGAGACGCGCCACCTCCGACTCTTTTCCCACCGAAACGGCCGCACGTGCGTCTCACTTGGACCTCGGTGGCCGCCCTCAGCAGGTTTTTCCACGGGGTCGGCACGCCCACGTCGGGTGGGTGCTGCGTCGAAGCGGGTTGTAAACACGTTCGGGGTTGACAACCACGGGGCTGTCACGTGACCACCTTAAAGGTCGTCTGGCGCGCTGGACCTTGGTGCGTTTTTCACCTATCGCCAAACGAGAATTCAGTCGCACAGGCACGAGCAGAAAGATCGAAGAAGAAGAAGAATTAAAATTTAGGAAAAAGACTTCCTCAACCATAAAGTACAACTTGCATGCCTTCGATTCATTCGAAGCCAACTTTCTACTTTTCTGATTGTCATTCTGACGTTCCTTCACTTTTTTTTTGTAAAACGGAGTTTGTCATTGAAATTATGTAATAAATTTTCCAATATAATTTTAAAATATTTTTTTGTTTGTTAAAATCATTTTTTTCTTCAAGAAAAAAGTTTACTAATGAGAAATGAATTTTTATTGTTTATTCAGATTTTATTCAATTTAAATTTGCTCTAAAATTTATATTATTAGAATTTTTAACTAATTAAATTGTACTTAATTTTCTTTAATTCCATTTATTGAAAATTTTAAATAATCATTGTTTTGTATGCACCTGTCTTTCATTTTCTTGTTTCTGTTTCATCAGCCCGTTACTCGGCACACCAAGTAATGTTTTTCAATGCGTCTTATGCATCTCACGCAGGTCAACGTCCATTCCGATATTTTCTACACGCGTTCCTTGCTCCTTGTTTGCGCTTCTTCTTCTTTGCTCGTGCAAGAATTTCTAATTTTGCGCGTTTCCGAGCCATAACTAGCGGCCAGTGCGTGTAATTTGTTTAGGATAAAAAAATCTCCATTGATTCGAAAGTACAGAAGTGTTGTAATGGAATTCTGTTCACAAATGCAATCGCGGTGGTCTAATGAGCAATTTTCGCGCAGTGCAATAATTACGCGGCAAAGGAAAAGTTCACTTTAATTAGGATGCAGCAGAAAGTTATGCTGATAAATTAATTGATGACCTTTGGTTTTCACGATTTTGAAGCGATAAAATTCAAGAGTTGATTGTGAAACATTTTTTTGGTTCAAAGTGAATTTAAAAAAATGTAGAATTCAATTTCGTTCGAGATATATTTTTTGTAATAATTTTTAATATTGAATTTTACTGAATATTTGATTTTCAATTAAAAAATTTCGATTATTGGAAATAAATGAGAAGATAATAAATATGATAAATATTAAACAAATGAAGAAAAAATATGTATATTTTACATAAAGCTTTTTTAAAATTTTCCAAATCAATTTATCTAGTTTAAATAAAGCTTTATGATATATCTAGAACTAAATTACGAGATTAAATTTCGGTTTTAAAATTCGCATTGCATTTTCTTGCATGATTTGTTATATAATTTATTAAATTTGTTTTCCTCTGCGTAATACCTCGAGTATTTTCTGTTAAATAAGAAAAACAACTATACTGCATTATAAGAACTCGCGAAATCGCAAAAGTGAGCAGAAGAATTTTCCAATTATTCATGATGTGTTTCCCCCCGTGAATTAAAGGTCTTCGGACGCCTTGAACTGTTCCATACACAAGGAAAATAACAACTTCTGCTGTGAATGAGTCACTCTTTTGTATGTACCATTTGGAGATTGGTTCGAGTGATGCAATGCGTGTATTGAAACGCTTTCCTAATTTTAAATTTAGACGCACAATGCCAGTATTTCTAGAAAATTTTGTTTTTATAAAATAATGTTGTTAAAGAAATTTAATCATTATTAAGATTTTTTTTATCAACTTTCGTTTTAAATCTGCATATAAAAAAACAATGTCAAATTTTGAAATACTGACCATAATTTTTTCTAGTCAGGAAATCGTGAGCTTTGTGAATTTAGAGCAAAATCTCACCTTTGATATTGTTTTATCTCGCGCAGCATAATTATCGCCGGCGGCCGCGCCAAGGCCGCAGCAACTCCCCTCGCAGTCAAGAAACCTGTCTCCAATGCCCCAATTACAAGATTTTTCTTCAATTAAAATTATTTGATTTTTGTTTAGATCCGCTGGTGGTGAGAGGAGTGCTTCACGGCCATCGCAGGTGGTGTGTCTGTGCAGTCCTTCAGCGAGGATGGCTCTGCGCGAGTTGGTCGAGGGTGAGTGCGGCGGCGCCAATTCGCTGGTCCGCCTCACCTCGCACTTCGTCCAGGACCGGGCCCACAAGGAGGATGGACTCAGGCACCACTTCCCGCCTCACCCTGAGGCTCTTTTCGGCGAATCAAGCGCCGATCAGGTATGATTTTTTTAAAACATTGTTAAATTCCATAAATTGAAAAAATGCATGTTGAAGTTACTATAAAAATTGCTAGAAAAAAATTGAGGCATGACTTATGCAAGTTTTAAAAGTAAACAAATTTTTTTTACTTAAATTCTACCCACTGTATTTTGTTTGAATTCGATATTATTTCAGAAATTTTGTATCTAATAATTGAATAAAAATAATGATTTTAAATTGTGAAATTCCAGTTTGTGCAAGAGTTCTTGGAGGAGACTCTGGTGCAGCGAGGCATCGATGTGGTGCCCCAGACCTTCCACATGGACTCTCTGCTCCAAGAAATGAGGGAAATCGAAAGTGCTCGTCACAGCTCCTTGCCGCCCATTCCAGCACCTGGAGTTGCCCAAGCCTTGGCCGATGGCGAAACCACCGGTTGGGCTGATCAGTTTGCTGAAACTCGTGGCGAACGTTTTAATGTAAGCTAGAAAATTAATATTTGATTTAGTCAAAATTTTCAAAATGATGCAGGACATGAAAATCGAGGAAATTTGGAACGAAGCTGGATCGTCAATCAAACCGCTTCAGTCAGAGAAAAATGAGCTCGGCTTTGGCCCCAGTTGGACTTTGGAGTATTTGCAGTCAGATGATGCTGAATTGTTAGTCTATCACATGTATAAAACTGATTGCATTAACCGCCATCTTAATTAAAGGTCCACTGAACTGGAAAACGCATGGCAAGAGGGGTCTGTCGATACTCTTGAAATTCGCGCTCAGGCCAACGAACTTGTTACCGTCGTCGACAACCAACAGCTTTCCAATTCAAAGGTTAGAAAATTTAAAATATATTATTTTCCTCATTTTTATTTTTAATTTGTTTAGTTTATGCAATTCATGCGTGACATCGGAGAAGGGGAAATTGATATTGTGGATGGAAAACTGGTCACTGACGTCAAAGGTGACGAAGTTGAGGCTGCTCATTCTTGGGTGAAAGAATTTGCCGAGGGACAGCGTCAGGCAGATTTGGCTCAGGGCATTGTCAAGGAAGACGAGCTTTGGGCCAATTTGCAGAAGGAGTGGGAAAAATCAGCCCAGGAAAATGGAGACCTCAATAGTTGGTTTGACGAGTTCAGTTCCTACTACGACCCTTTCAAAGTGAGATAAATCCTGATGTTTCTTTGAATTACAATTAATCATAATATCTCAATCTGCAGCAATACAGTTTTGAGAAAGAAAACCCCATGCTTGACAGTGAAAACCCTCTAGAGGAGGGAAAGCGGAAACTAGCAGAAGGCGATTTGCCGAGCGCAGTTCTGCTCTTCGAAGCTGCCGTTCAGAAGGATGAAAATTCTGCTGAGGCGTGGCAACTTCTAGGAACAACTCAAGCTGAAAACGAGCAGGTAGAAAGCGAAAATTTCTCTTGTGTTAAATCTAAATAATTTGTTTTTCTAAGGACCCTCTTGCCATTCCTGCTTTGAAAAAGTGCCTTCAATTAGATCCACAAAATCTGACTGCCCTGATGGCTTTGGCTGTCTGCTACACCAATGAGAGTTATCAAAATCAAGCCTGCCAGGCTCTAAGGGTATAGTTTCTTCATTTTTATTCATAACTTATGCTGACTTGCTTCTTTATTTGGTTGTAGGATTGGCTCAAGGGAAATCCCAAGTACAGTGACTTGGTTCCTCCCCAACCTGAGGAAGAGGCGCAAAAGTACGAGTACATTACCTCGCTCATGACGAAGTAATTTAAATTTTAAATATTTATTTAATTAATTTACTTAAATGTACCTTTACATTTTAGTGACTTCCATAAAGAGGTTCACGACCTATTTTTGGCAGCTGCAAACAGGAGTCCAATTTCAGACATTGACTCTGATGTCCAGTGTGGCCTAGGAGTTCTTTTCAACCTGTCGAATGAGTATGACAAAGCTGTTGATTGTTTCCGAGCCGCCCTTGATGCTCGCCCAGACGTAATACTCATTTCATAAAATCTAATTAAATAGCTTAATACTTTGTAATAGGATTCACGCATGTGGAACAGACTGGGGGCAACTTTGGCAAATGGAAATAGATCAGAAGAGGCAGTCGATGCTTACCAAAGGGCATTAGAATTGGCTCCTGGATTCATCAGGGCTCGTTATAATGTTGGAATAACATGTGTAAATCTAAATGCTCACAGGTAAAGAGTTTTTTTATTAAAAGAAGTTTATCGTCATTTAATTGATTTACAGAGAAGCCGCTGAGCACTTTATTTCTGCGCTCAACATCCAGGCTTCTGGCAAAGGTATCCAAGGGAAGAGTTCTTGGCGATCGATGTCAGAGAGCATTTGGTCCTCGCTAAGGCTAGTGGTTTCGTTACTCAACAGACAAGACCTGTTTCCAGTTGTGGATAGCAGGTACTTTACTTTCAAATAATTTGCATGCATCATCTAATAATGAATTTTCATTATTTTAGGGATTTGGCAAAACTTAATGAGGAGTTTAAAATGGAAGAAGAACTGAAACAGATTTAAGAGTGTCTAATACTGCTACTACGGCTATAACAAAGTGGTGTAAATGAGTATAGTCTTAGCACTTAACAACGTTATTCCATTAGGTCTAAGTCAATTTTATTAATTTTGTTTGCAGTGCTTTGACGCACTGACATTGGATGAAGTAATTTGCGTTGTTTAAATTGTCTGATTACAAAATTCGTTTTGAAGTCAGTGCATCAAATCTAAGCAAACGCCAAATTGATTGCTAAGCAATTGTTGAGATAATTCATTAGTCACTCAGATCCCATGGTATCTGCGCATAGATTTTTATACGAGTTAGTCTTATTATTAACGGAACATTAATTAATTTGCTATGTAACTTTTTCATTTTAATTGTAAGCTGATATTAATATCATCATCAGTGTAAGAAAGAGTTATTCACTCAGTTTGTTTTTGTGTGTACACAGGGTAAATTTTTGTTCCAGTATTTCATTTTTTCTTTTTTTTGCTGATTTCGGAAAGAGAATTCGAGATTTTTAACTTGTGCGTAAGACTGTTAGAATTAATTAGTCCTATGTAAAACATAATTTTTGGGTTCAATTATCTTGGTGTGGTAATTTATTGCAGGGAGTTCTGTTTTATTTTCAAAAAGTGGTGTGAATTTTTTTGTTCGGAGAGTATATGATTTTTTTACTTTTAATCAGTACCATATTCACTGTTTGATGTAAAACTGAAATTTCATAAATCCCAAAAACAGTAGTTTTTTGCAGGAGTGAATTGTTATGTCTGTAAATTGTTACTATGTCAGCAAATAATTATATTATTTTTTTTGTGACGACCACATCTATTTGGAAAAAAAATTAAAAATAATTTGGCTTTAAGTGCTATTCGGACATACTGAATTGAGACAGGCAACGAATGAACAATCATATTATTGTAAAAGGTCGTCTATTGCGGAAAAAGAAGACTAGTATTTGGTCTGAACTTGAAAAAAGATACGCATAAAAAATGTCATAAATGAGTATTTTCTCATCCAGCCTGTCGATGTGTAAATCACTTGGAATACATTCAAAATTCTAAATTCAAACAAACTACAGATTTTTATTTCTTTAAACTTTAAATCCTTCTTATTCGTAGACTCAATTCAATTCCTTATAATTTATTTTTTAAATTACTTATTGTTTCCGTTACAATTAACTATTAACTCCTGTTGAAGTGATGGTGCCTTTTTTCGAAACATTTTCTTGAAACTCGAAATCTCCCGCTTCGAAGGCAGAGACGTGCCCGTAGTGACGTCACTTCCTGCAGTGCGCTGCTATCGACTGGTCGGCGAATCATCCGGTGAACTTGAAGTGGAAGGAAAGTCGCTGACCGCCGACGACGGGAGTCTCCTGCGCTCTTGTGGATCCACAATTCGCAAAAACCGACCAGGATAATTCGCGGCCGTTCGTTCTGGTGAGTATCCGACCATTCAAAAGCAGAATCCGACACCATTTCGGACCGACTTTCAGTCATTTCGAGCCGGTGCATTGTTTGAGTCGCGAGTAATTGTACGATTTGTCCACTATTTGTCACTTCAGCACGCTCCGCCGTGCCGATGAACGGGTTAAACGCATGCAAATTAATTCCATCGTAGGCTAAAAGCGGTCACGGGGAACGCGAAACGTCCCAGATGACTTTAAATTTGATGGGAAAATGCATTTGCAATCGGTTTGCTTTGTTAAGTCATTCAGGAGAAAGCTAAAAAAATCTCAAATCTTTTATATTTTAAAATAATTATATTCCATTTTTGATCAAATTATCGCCAATTATATTTTATTCTATTTGTAGGTGTGTTTTGTTATTAAAAAAAAAAAAAAATGAATTGAAATAAAGGTAGAATATTTTTTTTTATATAAAACAATTTTTATACTTTTCTATTATTATCCTTCACCATAAAAGCCACAAAAGTCTCTAATTCTTTGGACAATTAAACAATTACAATATTTGATTTGAAAATTCTATTTTCTATATTCTCGAGTAAAAATTTCACTTTTGGTCAGTTGCGGCGGCGTTTTGGTGGAAAAGGAAAAGTGACATCCTTTGGAGACTAATTTTCGCCGGCAGCTCTTCGTCAGTAGAAACTCTTTTATACGAAACGTCGAGCACCACTTTCCCCGTGACCAAACGGAAACCATTATATTTATTATCTCAACATTTTTTAACAGCGCGGCTGCTGAAATTTATTTATCTTTTTATACATCTTTCCTTTCTTCACTGAAATTAAAGCATTTATAAAATCCTCGTTTCGCTCTGTTCATCTTTATTTGAAATTTATTAAATTTCAAGGAAGGTGTTTCGTATTTTGTGAGGATATTTTTAGAATAGAGGTCTTTTATAATGATGATTTCTCCGCCGAGTTCAAAAACCAGATAAATAATACCAGAGGAGGCTGAATGACTATAGCTGGGAAGGAATTTATTATCTTCTCTTTCTCCTCTGAAGCGGTGTCTCTAGTTCTCGGTCAAGGACGCCGCGTGTGCACCATTTAAGTGGGACGCACCTTTATAATCAGGTGGAAAAGGTGCTTTTATATATAAATGGTCGACGCTCAAGTTTGACTTTAAAGATTTTTATGCTTAATAAAAAATTACTTGGAATAGCTCAAAAATATTGTTTTTTTTTTTGTTATTTATTTTGTTAATAGTTTATCTGGATTAAATTCAAACACAATTCAGAAAGAAACAAATCTGATCACCATTTTAGAGCTTAAATAATTTTTATCCGTCCTGCTATCGTATTAGCTTATTGCGAAAATCATGTTGTAATTTTTTCAATATATTGATTTAATTTAAAATACATTTTCTCTTAAAATGTCCTAAAAATAATATTCTTACCATTAAATTGGGGAAAAATTCAAATCATTCCAAATATATTTATTTTTTGCTACCAGTTTTAACTTTAAATCTTATTTTTTCAATATTAATCATTATCATTTTATTTTCTACTTAATTGACAATTTACTCTGTTTCTTTCGCTCGGCAACAGTTTTTGCACTTATGCACACCTTCAAAACTGGCTCAACTAATGTTATACAATCAAGACTTAATCTTATCGGTGAGCAAATTACTTTTTTCGTACATAGTGTGATTTTATGCAAACGTGCCTTTCACGTGATTATGAATTATATCACAAATTACATAATGACGAGGGCCAACAAATGGACTGGTGGCTCGTCAATTACGCTGCCGAGGGTCTCAGGTCAAATTTAATATTATCTTCACTCCCGGGCCGAATGTTTTTTACGCCGCTTGCACGCTTTTAACACGCTTTTCCATGAGACGTACGGAGGCTTTATTTTGGTGACTTTTGGCCTCAATGATCTTTTAATGACCAACTCCATTTCTGCACCTTGGCTTCTCATCAGAAAGTTACATAATTGAGAACTCTTCAATTAAAATGGCTTACCATTATTAATTGTTCTTACATTTATGGATTTAATTTAGATTTATTATATTATATTAATAAGATAAAAAAAATATTAAAATATTTCTTTCTTCTTTCAATACATACAAAATGAGGAAAACATTACAATTTAATGAAATTATAAAGAATATTTTAATTTTCTACTTGCGCAGTTGTAGCTCTTTGATAAATGTGCAATAATATAAAAAAAAGTCAAACGGTAAAAGCAAGTCGTCCTGTTTGGAATGTTGTTTTTTCCAGATCATAGGTCTGATCACTTTACAATTAGACGCAAACAAGGGCAACTTGTAAAGTGCTCTCTGAAGAATTTTTAAAGGGCATTCAATCTTTATTCATAAATGGGTCCAACACCAACTTCCTCTGAGATTTCCGATTGAATTTAGAAAGTAAAATCTGGCTGGGTGAGAGGTTTGGGTGTGGCAACTTTTTCAGACCAATACTTTTTCTGTTGGTTTGCAAGTGGAGCTAAACTTAACTTTTACTTTCTGAATCTGAGATCAGTTTAAGGAGAGTAATTCTTGCTGGCCACAAAAAATAATCAAAGTTATGTTAAAAAAACTGGACCTCTTTATGAATAACTTGCTATTAAACACTGATTAGTTGTCTTGGATAGGTCAATTTGTCATCATTGATTGTGAGAAAGAATGAATCTTATCTTGCAAGGACGTTTATTTTCTCATCAATCACAGCAAACGTGAAGACCCGCACGTTTTCATTATTCATTTTGGAAATGCCCGTGCGAAAACGCAAAAATTAGGCATTTTTTTTTAATTCAAATTTTCTTAAGCACGAAAAATTATAATATTAAAAATAATTTTTTTGCATCAATAATGAAAGTGAGCCAAATTAGTGTAATTAGAGTGAAACAAAAATATTAACATTTCTCTTTTGACGGTATTGTTTGTTTTGAAATTGTCATTCCGAAGCAACAAGAAAGGTGAAAGTTGTCAAGAATAATATTTGATCGTATAAGGAAAAACGGGATAATCCAAAACACCGGCTGAGAGGAGGCGCGATTTGCAGTCCAATCTGTTCTTAGAACAAACATCACGCGATGAATGGCGTGAGGGGTCACGTGACTTTGGCAGGAGCAGATTTACGAATTCGCTGGCTCTTGAACAATGACTCGCGTGCGTCTATCTTTTGATCGGTTTACTTACTTACATACTTACGCACGGCTGATGCAATTTCGTCAACCCATTTTCTCGCTGTTTTTTTTTCAACTGGAAATTTGCGTCATTAAATAGAACAGCAGTTTGTACAGAGCGACCTGTTATTGTTATTCAAATCGATTGTAACAACACAACATGTGTTTGCCACATTTTTTATTTATTTTCAATTTAAACGTCCAGTTCAACTGCATATCAATAGATTGAGGCTGTTTCCGATTGATTTTGGGTACTCCTGCAAGTTCTGCGTGCAATTTCCGTGCGTGGAACCGCAGGCGGTCTCTCCGCGTCAACGCGACGAGTCGGTGACCCCTCTTTGAAATCGACCGAGCTAGGGCACCCGTGACGTCAGATGGTCATTCTTTAGTCGATACTTTTGACGTCACGTTCTGCCTAAATTGTAAAAAACAGGCACGCTGACATTACTTTGCAATTTTTCTCGCTCGCGCAATCAGCAACATGACACGTGAAATTCGGCCTGGTAAAAAATTAAATTTGAAAATTGAAGAAAAAGGTGAATTGAATAAAGATATTTAAATGTTATTACGCACTTTTAAAAATATCATTGGAATAATTTTTCCAAAAATTGTTGGTTTTCGTAACACCAAAATTTTTTTAATTTCATACAAACTTGGAATACTTAAGATTTAAAAAAAAGTGAAAAAAATAAAACAATTAATTAATTATTTTTCTTTTTTATTAAATTGTAAATTTGTGAAGTATTTTTTAAATTATTTGAGACCTTTTGAAAATCCACTTATATGCTTAATTTATTTCTTTCAAACCTCATCTTTGTGCAATCTGCGTGGTAACAATGCACTTTTTGTTCTCTTCAAGGTAACCGCTGAGATGAATTTACTCTACAACAGAATCATCGCCAGTCATTACCATAATGCGGCGAACATGTAAAAAACAGTGACATTGCAATTTTAGTACAAAATCCTGTTTCTACGACGTATTCTTTTTAAAATTTTCCGTCAATAAATGCAACCCGTCCTTGAAATATTGACAAAATTCTATTTTTAAAATCGAACAAGCATGCATTGATCTTTGGCGTCAAACGAGGGCTGATAAGAGCAAAATATCGCCGTGCCCTTTGTGAATTACTTTTTATCTGCTGGCAAATCAGTCGGTCACCGTGGCTGCCCCTTCCAGAGTAAAAAGCGGCAGCCTCTGGCTTAACATTCAGATGCCTCGCTCTTTCTAACTCGAGACTCGGTAAGAGCCGGTCGGAAACACACTCGTTCTCTCTTTCTTTATACTCTCATTTTTATCTTATTGGACAATAATAAATATTTGAACTCTCTCATTGTCCTCAGAAAAGGCTGCACTGGCTGAAAAATGTCGGCAAAAGCGATCCGCGAAGCGACAGGAAAAGACCTGCTAAACAGGTTCCTATCGGCGACTTCGGGCGCTGGCCTCTGCAGGTTCGCCTCCGTCGACGAGAACACCAAATGGGAGGCCCTTGTTGCTGCCAACCCTTGGCTCCAGACTGAGGTTTGATTTAAAAATCTCATGTATACAAGTATTTTACATTAATTTGTCTTCAGAAACTGGTTGTGAAGCCCGACCAGCTGATCAAGAGACGAGGCAAACTAGGCCTGATCGAAGTCAACTGCAACCTTGCGACCGCCAAGTCTTGGATTGAGCAGAGGATCGGCAAGGATATCAAGGTACTTCTTGCTCTAGTTTCCAGTCTTCTTTGGTGTAAAATATTTCAAGTACAAATGAATTTATTAATTTTTTTGTATTTTTTAGATCGGAAGAGCCACAGGCAAGCTGAGAAGCTTTATTATTGAGCCCTTCTTGCCGCACAAACCAGTAAGTGAATTTTCCAAAATGCATAAATATTCAGACTAAAATTTAAAAATTTATAAAGTTAAAATTGTGTTACAGTTAACATTTTTTGATGTATTTTTGTATTTTATTTACAAAACTACTTAAACCGTTTTCATTAATTCCATTGTTGCATTATTTGCCTTTTTTACTAGGCCGAGGAAGCGTATGTGTGCATTTATTCCCACCGCACTGGAGACACCATCCTTTTCCACCACGAAGGCGGTGTTGACATTGGAGATGTTGACTCAAAGGCTGTCAAACTGGAGGTGCCCGTTGGCCAAACCATTACAGCAGCAAACATCAAGAAAGCACTTTTGTCCCAAATTGACGCCTCTCAGCAAGAGTAAATTATTAACTCACATTAATTTTATGTTCAGACTCTTATGATAATTTTTATTTTAGTTTGGTAGCAAGTTTCATCGAAAGTCTGTACCAGCAGTATGTTGATCTGTATTTCACATACCTGGAGATCAATCCTCTTGTCATCACTGGAGGCAAAGTGTACGTCTTGGACTTGGCAGCCAAGTTGGATGCAACGGCTGATTTCATTTGTCGCTCAAAATGGGGCGAAATTGACTACCCACCACCATTTGGACGAGATGCCTATCCTGAGGAAGCATATATTGCTGATTTGGACGCTAAAAGTGGGGCCTCTTTAAAGGTATAAATCTTTAAAATAAAATGAAAAAGGTTATTATTTGAAAAATTTAGTTGACTATCCTCAACAAAAATGGTCGTATTTGGACAATGGTTGCTGGAGGAGGCGCATCAGTCATTTACTCCGACACCATTTGCGACCTTGGAGGTGCCTCTGAGTTAGCGAATTATGGCGAATACTCTGGTGCCCCATCTGAGCAGCAAACATATGAGTATGCCAAGACCATTCTGAGCCTCATGACTCAGCAGAAGCACCCCGAAGGAAAAGTAAGCTTACTTAATTTGTGTTTGCCTCTTGCATCAGATGTTTCAATTTCTTCCAAAAGGTTCTCATCATCGGCGGCGGCATAGCTAACTTCACCAATGTGGCAGCCACTTTCAAAGGTATTGTCACTGCCCTTCAGGAGTACCAGGCCAGGCTCGTAGAGCACAATGTATCCATTTTTGTTCGACGAGCTGGACCCAATTATCAGGAAGGCCTAAGGTTGAAGAAAAGCATTAATATAATGAATTTTGCTTATTTTTGAAAAAATTCAAGGATCATGAGAGATGTTGGCCAGAATTTGGGCATTCCGTTGTTTGTGTTTGGACCCGAGACCCACATGACTGCAATCGTGGGCATGGCTCTTGGAAAGAGGCCCATTCCCAGGGAGACTGAGGTTGAGTTCAGCACAGCTAATTTCCTGCTGCCAGGTGGACAGGACAAGGTAAGGATTGTTACTAAATTTCCATTTATAAAAAACAAATAACTCAAAATCACACAATAATCGTACGCAATTTAAATCACAAAAGCTTTCATTGTAAATTTTATATAATGATTACACACAATTCACATGTGAACTTTTCATAATATTTCCTTCGTTTTTCTTCCCATTGTACAGTCTGAATCAGGAATGGGATCAGGAGTGAGTAACCAGCAGAAATGTTTGCAATAATTGCTTTTTACAATCTCACTATCACTATGTTTTGTTTGGTCGTCTATAATTTGGCTGCATTGGCTCAATTATTAGAAATACTATCCAAATTCTATTGTTTTCATTAATCCTCTTTTGTCTTAACTCAACCTTTTTTATTTGTACATATATGCAAATTAATTTTTTCTGCCGACTTTTTCACTTTTATTTCTTATATATCTGGTTATTTGCACTGCTCTATAGTAATAATTCTAACACACAAACCAAGGGCTTCTTCCTAGCAGCATGGTTGTCGTGTTGGTGGCGGAATGCGCTACATTTGCCTATTTTAAACACTAGACTCCTGATCAGTCTCGCAAGGGTTCTGTCGTTGGCGGAGGAAACGCCGCCGCTGCAGCAGGTGGAGCGTCTGCTGCTGCCGCGGCAGCCGCTGCAGCTGCAGCCAGTGGCGCTGACACCGTTGATGGAGGAAAAACCATGTTCACCAAGAAGACCAAAGCCATCGTCTGGGGCATGCAGACCAGAGCCGTCCAGGTATTTGTAAATAAAGTGAAAATTTGTAGAATTCTAATTTATTGTTTTCAGAGCATGTTGGATTTTGACTTTGTTTGCCGACGAACGGAGCCGTCTGTCGTTGCCATGGTCTATCCCTTTACAGGAGACCACAAGCAAAAGTTCTACTGGGGACACAAGGAAATCCTCATTAATGGTAATGAGTTAGCACATTAATTATGACGGTTTTCCTTATTTTTAATTATTTTTAGTCTACAAGAAGATGGAAGATGCCATGACCAAGCATAGAGATGCTGATGTTCTGGTCAACTTTGCCTCTCTCCGATCGGCCTATGAAAGCACCATTGAAACCATGAATTACTCTCAGGTATACAATCAATTATACAAGATTGAACTTTTTCATTTTTGAAATTCACTTTCCCAGATCCGCACAATTGCTATCATCGCTGAAGGCATTCCGGAAAACATGACCCGCAAATTGATTCTTCTGGCCAAGGAAAAGGGCGTTTCTATCATCGGCCCAGCCACTGTTGGTGGAATTAAGCCTGGCTGCTTTAAGATTGGCAACACGGGAGGCATGATGGACAACATTCTGCACTCAAAACTCTACAGGCCGGGCAGGTAAATTAGAAAAGCCATTTGAAGTTTGGGAGAATTCAACAATTTTTTTTTAGTGTGGCATACGTCTCAAGATCTGGTGGAATGTCCAACGAACTGAACAACATTGTCTCAAAGGCCACAAACGGTGTTTATGAAGGAGTAGCTATTGGTGGAGATAGATACCCTGGCACTAACTTCATGGACCACATTCTTCGCTACCAGGCTGACCCTCAGGTAATTAAATTTTTTAGAGCATAATTTCAATATTGCTGACGGAATTCTTTGTTTAGGTCAAAATGATTGTTCTGCTGGGAGAAGTTGGTGGAACCGAAGAATATGACGTTTGCGATGCTCTGAAGGACAAGAGGATCACCAAGCCCCTTGTGGCCTGGTGCATAGGAACCTGCGCCAGTAAGTTTATTCAGCATCAGGAAACTGTCAAATTTTAATAATTTATTTCTCAGGCATGTTCACCTCGGAGGTACAGTTTGGTCATGCTGGCTCGTGCGCAAACTCTGAGAGAGAAACCGCATCAGCCAAGAATGCAGCTCTGACCGCTGCTGGAGCAACAGTGCCCGCCAGCTTTGACAACTTGGGCGATGCAATCCACGAAGTCTATTATCGTCTTCTCCAGGAGGGTGTCATTGTCCCTGAGCCAGAGCTGCCACCACCCACCGTCCCTATGGATTATTCTTGGGCCAGTGTAAGAATTTGGCAAATAGTAATTGAACGCGATTTTTACCTTAATTTCTACAGGAGCTTGGACTGATTCGTAAACCAGCATCGTTCATGACCAGTATTTGTGACGAGAGAGGTCAGGAGCTTCTCTACGCAGGCATGCCTATCAGTGATGTAATTTATAATAGCAAAAATAATCCTGAAATTCAACTAAAGTATTTATTATATTTCAATAGGTGCTGAAAAACGACATGGGTTTGGGTGGCGTCATCTCCCTTCTCTGGTTCCAAAGACCACTTCCAGCTTATGTGTGCAAATTCTTTGAAATGTGTTTGATGGTCACTGCTGATCACGGTCCTGCCGTTTCTGGAGCCCACAACACAATTGTTTGCGCTCGCGCTGGCAAGGACCTTGTTTCCTCACTGGTTTCTGGACTCCTCACAATTGTATTAAATAAAATAGAAAAGCAAAATCAGGTTGTGAAGAAAAATATAATTCTAGGGTGATCGTTTTGGCGGAGCTTTGGACGGTGCTGCCAAGCAGTTTAGTGAGGGTTATGACTCTGGCATGATTCCTATGGAATTCGTCAACACCATGCGCAAGAAGGGCCAGCTGATTATGGGCATTGGCCACAGAGTCAAATCTGTAAGCTTCTTCGTGTAATTTTTCATCTCTGAGATCACTAATTGAATTTGCAACTAGATCAACAACCCAGACATGCGTGTGAAAATCATAAAAGAATTTGTGCTTGAAAACTTCCCCTCCACCCCTCTACTGAACTACGCCCTTGAGGTGGAAAAAATCACCACATCAAAGAAGCCCAACTTGATTCTGAATGTCGATGGTGTCATTGCTGTCTCCTTTGTTGATATGCTGCGAAACACTGGTAGCTTCACAAGAGAGGAAGCGCAGGAGTACATTGAGATGGGGTCCATCAACAGTCTCTTTGTTCTTGGCCGCAGCATCGGTTTTATTGGTACCTAATCAATAAACCCTTAAATAGCCCAGATATTGATTTTTTTTTACATTTTTTTAGGACACTACATGGATCAGAAGAGGTTGAGGCAAGGACTTTACCGTCATCCGTGGGACGATATTTCTTACGTACTCCCGGAGCAGTACAATTAAGCGGAGAGAGCAAAATTAGTTTGGCACTTGTACCCACCCACAGCACAAATTTATTATTAGCTGTATTTATCATTTGAACCAACGTGGTGCCTAAGCATCCCCATTTTTATGTTCGTGATTCTCACACATGTAATGTTAATTTGAGATTTGGTGCAAGCTCTAGAATTTAAAATTTGCTGACGGAAACTTGAAAGTGAAAATGTTATTTTATTGCATGATTAAATGTTCAATTTAATTTGTTGGAGATCATCTTTTGTTATTTATAGATCTGCATTTTTATTCTGTTTCAAATTTAATAATTGATGTCATTTTTATCTTTTGTATCTTACATTCCTTAACGATGCATGTTCACTTAACAGAGAACACTAGTGTAAAATTAATTTGTTACTTGTTGGTAAAATAAAATTAAAAAATATTTTTTGTGTATTCGCTCAAAGAGTAAAAATCGTTTGTTTTGATAGAATTGCCTTGGATTTTGTTTTTGTTCATGACATGCTAATTACCTGATTGTTGCACAAATAGTTGCACTTTAAAAGTGTAGCACAGCATTCAAATTTGGATTTAAAGTGTACATGTTGAATCGAAGGTATCTTTCAATGTGTATACTGCAAACACAAACTAACATATCGGAAGCTGGCTATTTAATATGCGATGTATACCAAAAACATATCATGTTCAGTGTCTTGTTCTTAAATATTATTAAAAATATATATCTTGAGGAATATTACCTTAACGATAAATGGGTTAAATGTATTAAAAAGAGGTTGACAGTAGACTGAATTCAGCAGAAAAATTGTTGTGCCGCTTGCAATTATGCTGGCTATATAGTATAAAACAAAATTTATAGAGATATAACATTAGAGGAAAATACAATCCAGAAGTAATTGAAATTCTAGGTGTTAGAGAAATATATTTTAGAGAAGGTTTTTTTTTAAACTCACAATTAAATTATTGTGAGATATAAATTTGGAATAATAATTATAACCGTATTTACCATATATACACCACCAAAAATTGAAATGTTTCAGTAATATCAAACAAAAGTTAGTGTAGTTAAGTTTAGTAATGACTAATGTCTAAAATCCTAAAAATGGAATAATTTAGAATCGTATCGACAAATTCCATAAATATTATACAATTATGCTTTAATCTAAAACAGAGTGTGGAGACTGTAGAGTCAAATGTGAAACAACGATTGAAAAATACGAAAAATATAGATTAGTTTGGTAGTTATTGGTTTGGTTTATCGATATTGGAGAAACTAGGAAATAAAATCATCGTGGAATTAAATAATGTATACCTCGAATATTTATCTTTTAATTTAAATTTTCCTATGTAAAAGAAAACTTTACTAAAAAAGATAACATTACCGATTAAAACAACAGATAAATTACCTTTTATTAATTATAATTATTATAAATTATTAATGCTGTCTTTAATTACAAAATCCGATTGCACGCGTTGTTAGCGCTTACTGTTTTTGAACGAGCCAGCACACATGGGTGGGGCTTGGAAAGCAGTCCATTGATTGGCCGCTCTGCCAAACATATGGTCCGGCTTCGCATTCCTCGCAAGGGAAGCTCGAGATTAATTTGATCAAAATAATCAAGAATTCTCTGTCAATATTTGGCTTTTCGCCTTGTTTTGCACACCAAAAGTTCCGGTAAGTTCTGAAGTTTCATTTTCAATCAACAGTTTTCAAAAGATAACTGGATTTCATTCTAAAATTTTGCAAAACAAGATGCCCTAGCGGTATAGACAAGCATGCCTTACGCATCCAGAAATTTAAACCAAATAAAAATGCTAAATTATAACTTAGGAAATCCATGTTACTTCAATTTTTTCCGTAATTATTAAATACTACTTCAAATTAAAAATTAATTTGCTTTTCATCGTGCAGAATACAAAATGTAGATGCCCGGCATAACACAAGAGATGCTGCCGAGCTTCAAATGTCTGCACTGCGAATTCAGCTCGCCGTCCAAGGTGGTGCTGAAGACGCACATGGTGCGGTGCCACCTGATCCAAATTTCGTGTCCCAACTGTCACAACTCCAAGATCTGCCTGCTGCAGAATAACAAATGTCCCACATGCAACTTCACCGTAGTTAAAATCAGCAAGGTCGAGCCGATCAAGAAGCAGCAAGGCTCCGCGGAGGAGGACGATGGCAGGGGCCGCGTCTTTTCTAGTCAGATGGCCCACACCGTCGCCCAGAGCCAGAGGAGCAGGGAGGTGCACCCTGCCGACCACAGGGTGGTCATGCAGATCTCCAGCCAGGAGATTCGCAGGAAGCAGGTGGCCTCCGTCTCACCCATAGTCAGCCTGCAAGTCCCACCGCCCCTCATACCCATCGACCAGTCCAGGAACAAGCAACAATTTGCTGCTGGTAATTTTTATTTATTAAAAAATAATTTAACACAAAAATTTTCAACCATTTCTGCAAGCAGGGTTTTAACTATATTTTGAAAAATGAAAACTGAAAAACTAGTCTTTTGTGAACAAAATACCAAGCCTATTTTGACACCCTCGATAATTTTTTAAGAAATTAATTCTTGCTGTGTCTCAAAAAATTTATAAATTGAATTAGAGTTTCAAAATTTAGAAGAAAAAAACAATATTTTGTTTGCTCTTGCAAAATCTATTTTTTCTCACTTTGAGTAGAATAAACAACAATAAATAATTTACAATTAATTTTTGCGGTTATCTTATCAACCTGTACTCTATGTTGAATCTCCTTTTTTGGTTATTTTGTTTATGGTTGTTTAATATTATTTATCATCAATCTACTATCTATTTTGCTTAATCTTTAACTACCACCAACACAATAAGAGTATTTTTATCAGATTTTATAATTTGTCTTTAATAGTAAACATATTATTACTAATTTATTTTGTATTATGTAAATTTAAAAAATGGTTGTCTTTAGTTTTTGTCTAAGTTTTTAAATAATTTTTAAAATTAGATCAATTTAACTATCAATATTTTTTATTTCCAGCAAATCCATTCAAAATTCTGACGTTGATACCCCGGAAGAGTTTCGACATGTTGAACGACAACGAAAAGAGCGGCATGCAGCCGGTCAGGCCAGAGAAGCACATCAGCGAGGAGAGCTGGTTTCACTGTCCCTTCTGCCCGCTCAAGACGCGCTTCAAGCTCGAGTTCATGAAGCACGCCAAGAGCCACGGCGTGGACAAGTTTGTCTGTGATCACTGCACCTTCGAGACGGTTGACGAGGCCGAGATGCTGAGCCACCTGAAGCAGCACCAGGACGGCGCCTCCAACAGGTCTTTCCTCATGGAGACTGCCAAGGAGTGGGTGCTACTTTAATCTCTCTCTACATTTTACATTTTTTTTTTAAATTTAGTTCATAATAATCGAGTAATTCCGGATTTCGGAAATTTTGTATACTGATGAAAAATTACCTGGCCGATAGGGGGCCGACCTGTACTTCGAAATCTCTTGAAACTTGGATGTCTGAGCGTTTATATCCCAGGATTAGAAATTAATCGTGCTTAAATCGAAAAGACTTCAGGGGGTGTACTGTATAAAGTCACAAAAAGCTGGAAGGCTCATTCTTATACATTTTTCTTTTGGATTTTTTTTATATTAATTGAGGAGGAGAATTTCCTGGAAATTTATCAGATAGCTTAACCATAGCTGTGTAACTGATGTCAGATAAGTTTCTTTTTTTTTATCCAGAATTGCATTATACTTTTTCTCTACACTCACCTATACCTATGAGTAGAATAGTGACTGTGCATGTAGCAGCTTTTATATTTTCAAAATGCATTTAATGTTTACCTCAGCAGTTAAGCATTGTACGCCAATACTCATTGTCAGTATTACTATTTATTGCTCTTTGTAAATTTAAGCCGCATGGATCAATAAAATTAACATACAATTTCAATGTAAACATCAGTATTGTAAAATTCAACGACAACCACAATTTTTCACAGCCAGCCGACTGATTTTCTTAATGATAAAATTTCCATTTCGGTGTTTGAACATGATTGCCACCGCTTCATATTCACTTGGAACGCATTGTGGCCGCCTGCTGTTTGCAGACAGCAGCGTCAGAAGGGCAGTGTGCTCAGCTGAACCAAAGCCCAATTCGATTTTGCCACAGGCGCCCTCACAAAATCCAACATCTGCGTCTCGTGGCTCAATCAAACCCCACCTTCGAAAATTTACTCCCATTTTTTGTCTGCCGCAAGAGTTGGTGGTTTTATTTGTGTCTAAAAGTTCATCTGCTTGAAGGACAACACTGAGTTGAGAAGTACGAATTTCAAAACGAGGCTCATTACTCTCTATGGGAATAAAATTTAACCTCAAATCAATAATCAATCAAAATGTCTTACCTTTTTCAAAACTTTTGTACTTGACGCTAAGTATAGGTTGAAAACGGAAAACGTTGACTTTTGCTAATCCGGATATTATGAGTCCCAAATTTTCCTTTTGCCCTCGAAGCCAATCGTTAACTGCCGGCTTATTAATTTTTGTAAACTTTTGAAAATAAACTTAATTTATGCCCTCTTACCAGAACATTGAAAGAAATCCAGTTGCCGGATTGACCAGGCTGAATTGTAATGAACTGAGTTGAAACAAGCCTATGAGCATCAGGGACGTCCAGTGGCTGGTTTTTCACTTTTTGAAAAACTTGCACCTATTTAAATTAATTACCAACTAGGTTTTTACGTAGCTTTTTGTAAACTCAACTGTTTCGAAAATCGCTTCAGAACTCGACTGCAAGTAGATTTTAAGTGTTGCTGTCACAATGTGGCCCGGATCTGCCGGTGCGGGGTGCACAACAAATTCAAACAATTTCACTGTGCCTGTTGAATTTCCTGCATTTTTCCACCTTCAAATTTATTCTATATTATTTTATAATCAAGTTCTTGCCTTCAGCAAGACAAATCTGAAGCAAATCAAATTTTTGGGACGGAACTACTGATGCTCCGACAGCGATCTGCTGCTTCAGGATTTGGTATTGGTCCTGAAGATAACTTTCAAGCGATGAATCACGCTCGGCTTCTTTGCTGGCAGGTGACAAAGGGCCGGTGTTCAGGATATTCTGCACTCATTGGTAAAAAAGAAAGCGGAGAGCAAATTCTCACTAACACTAAAGTCTCACCTGTAAATAAGCAGCATCGCTTGTTTGCTCAGTTGAGTAAGCAGTGCTAATGAGGACTGAGATTTCCAAAATAATTGAGCCAATAATAATAGAATAGTTCATTTTTTCAAACTCAACAACTGTGCAGGTTATTCACTACTGTCTTGCACTCTCTGCTCAAACTGTGTGTACAGGAAGCGTGTGTGTTTGAAATTTAATTATTAGGCTGTTGGCAAGGCCACGGAATAAATTTAAAAAATTATTCGAATGTTGCATAAAGGCGAGTACAAAGGCGTTACGTAAAAAGAAAAGCGTGAAGCCTAGGACGAAAGCATGTATTTATTACAATTAATTTTGTGAGGCAATATTTTTATAAAAATACTAAACAAACAAAATTAACTGTTCAATCAGCGTTTCAACTCGAAATTTCAGAAAATATTTAATGGTGTCAATAAAACTTTCTGTTTTGACTTTACTTTCTTTGGTATCGCTACAGTTAAATAAGATGGAAAATTGTATAATTATCTCTGTCACTTTTGAATACTAGGACGGATTTAAGCGCTTCTAATAGTGCCCCTAATTAGAGGGAGCAGCGCCGGCATTATATATTAACTGCTTTTGGTATGTATACTCCAGGATAATTGTTTTATTACAGGTACTAGTGACTTCGATATTTTGCAAAAATCACCAAAGAGCGAGGGGAAAGCTCTGCAGACGGGGCTTGGCTCTAATTAAATTTTTAAACCTTGTGAATTCTACATTTCAATTGCGTGCAATGAGCGGAACAAATTAGACGCACTATATTTGCGTGATTCTGTTTAATAATTAAATATATGATTTAGAAAACAAACTTGTGTTGAAAATGAGCTGCATTCGAATGCTGAATGAAAGCCAAGCTTGCTGTCACGGGGAAATTTATAAATAATGCATCAATGAGAAATTTGAAATTTCTATAAAAAAAATTTTTGCTGTCGGTGTTGGCAACTTAAACCCATTTGGCTGAAAAGAACTTTGGCTTCATGTTCATGTGCATGTATCCTTTTGGCTGAACCTTCAGCCCTTGCACTTGAACAAGCTAATGTATTATAAAAATGCAAATTTTTACAAATAATCTTGACGCTGCGCTGTTTAAAAAGTTTCTTTTTTACATTATCTTAGGAAATTAATTAAAATTCTTTAACCATATCCGACCATCTCACTTAACAAGAATACACTCAATGCGATCAATAATTCCTCTATCATAGGATATTAAAACAAATTTAGTGTGTTTGATTTATTATTTTATTTTATACTCACAAATTAAGTTAATTGACATATCAGCCGTCAATCTCTCAAGTAAATAAACGTAAAACGTGCCAAAAAAATTATATTTTTATCATGTTGGAATACAAAAATAATAGAAAGAAAATTAAAAACTATTTAAAACATAAAAATTTAATGTGTTTTTTATAAAAATAATTTTTTTATGTTTTTACCTTTAAATTTTATAATACAATTAGTACTGCAATGCTCTCTGTTGAAATTTTAGTTCATAATTGTTGTGGCCAGGTTGGCCAATGATCTCATTTGATTTTACCTAGCTGCCTGGCGATGGTGATACATTTAAGCTTCTCTTTTTTTTTTGAAACCAAATAATTTAATTGTCTCTGTAGATTTTAGTTCAGGATATACTGTAGTGTATTGATTGGAAAACATAGTCAATTCACACCGCATTTTCATAGAAACTTATGCGCAATACGTCGTTGAATCATTGATGAAAGTGAAATTATAAAATGCGCACCATGCAACAGCAAAAATGTTCAAAATGGTTCTCTTTTCACTTAGGCCATTAGGTGGTTCCTATCCTAATTTTATTTTTACCACCGTAATAATTTAATGGCGCTTTTATAATGCAGCAGAAATCGAATATCCCACGATTGTTGTGATAAAAAGCGAAAATCGCCGCTGGGGGAAAACAAATGGTTGGTATTCGGAGCTAATGATAATGTTGGCAATCTAGTTAAGGAAATTACTCTGACCATCTCTGCAGCATTTTGATAAATAATTATTATATAAATAGGATCACTTTCAAATTCAATATAAAAATTAATTTCGTTTGGTGAAATTGAAAATCAATCTGGCCGGCCGGGGAGAGCGTCTCTGTTTGTTTTACACAAGCACCGCGCTTTCCTATTTTATTACCGAATTAAATCCTCATTTTTGAGCTGCGCATTATAAGAAGGCAGAAATCTTGAGGGAAAATCTCTTTTAAAAGCCCCGTCCTCTCCCTGCTGTGACTTGAAAAGCGCATCACACGCATCTCTCATGCAACCCTTCTATTAGGCCCTCTCTGTCTGCAATCCCTTTATTTGTTTCCCCATCATGATAAAAATTCCATTCCAGGCTCATCATTTTCCTAACCATGTCAGACGGACTAGGCCATAATAATAATAGTGATAAAAATATATTCCAGCCAACTTATATATACGCGCGCATAGTTGAGCCCCGCAAAGTGCTCGGCGCTGGTGCATTCCTGGCCCGTAGTAAAAAGGCTCATCAAATTTCGAGACCCCAAATATTAAAACAGATACAAAATATCCACTTCTGAAGCGCAAGACACTTTTCTGGAATAGAAATGTGATTAAAAATTTGGGAGATATATATAATATTGGAAATTAGGGAAATAAAATGAAGAAATTCGTGTGATGTAGTATTTTTCGTATTTTTTTCACTGTGAGAAATTGAGGGAAAGCAAGAACTATTGCCTCTCGCGATATTTTTATTATTGTATAACCAAATTATTATCGCTACAGACCCTGTATTTATACCAATACGATTTATTAAGCCAAAATGGATTCAAATTTTATCTTTATCAGATCAGCTTTCGTTATTTATTTTTCCGTTGATTGACATTTGATTTAAAATTCATTTAATGCAAATATCTCATTGTCCACAAACGTATTCAACCAAACACAAAGGCCGGCGTGTGTGACATTGAAGACTGTAAATCAAAATAAAAACAATAGTAACAATTCTTCAGCGCCTCGTCACTTGATTCCATAAATATTGACTGCACGACGCAGTGAAACGTATAAAGGGGTCCGCTGAGGATAATTTATTTTACCTGCATTTATGTATAATATTTTTTATATCACGCGGCTTTTTCGCCAAAGTTGAGGCTTTTAGAAAGTAAATCGATTCGCCACACGCCTGCTGCATCTGAGCATCTTCACGTACAAGTGCGGTTCTCTGATGTGCAGACGGAGGCGCACGTCTTTGGAATTTGTAGAAAAGTGAAATAGAAACGCCGAGATGCTCTCTGCGGTGCACATATCAATATTTTCTTATTACTTTCTGCTGTGGAAATATTTCACGTTTGACTTGACGCGGCGCATCACTTCATGTACGAGAAATAATAGAAAAAATTCCGAACGATTCTCCAGAGTGACATGCATTAACTTCACGCCAACTCACAACAAACTGCACGCTTTTTAAATAATAATTTGCTGGAAAAAGATTCATGCTTGTTTATAGAAATTATTTGAAAACGTGTAGATTCAATTCATATGCATTTAAGTTCACCTTAAATCCGTTTTCTAAACTGATACAATATTGGAATATTTTCATATTTTGGGGGAGATTTAAGGGTGCTGGAGAAATAGTCTAAGTATGTCGATATTCCTTCTTTTTTAAATATTAATTTTTGAAATATGGTTAACTATATGATTTAACACTTTCTAAATAAAAATTGATAAACTAAGTTAAAATGTATTATAACAAAAATATCATTTAATCTAGACCAATTCATTTGGTTTTGCCACTTCTTGTCACAAATCTGTCATTATGAAACGTTTTTTAGTAATCTCAAAATTGGTGCCACGGTACCGGTACAGCAATTATGGACACAGCCTCACTCTCATTGTCAGGCATCAGTCAGTAAGAGTCCAATTTACTTTCCCCGTTTGCATAAATAAATTCCTCTTGTGCGGAGTTAACGGCTGTATCTTTATTCTCAAATAATGTTTAGAAGCTGCGAGTGAAAATAATATGTGTATAATTGACCGCTTTTCAAACAACTCTCGCGCTTCATTCAAAATGGAATTGTGACCGTGAATTAATTGTTATGAAGAAGAAGCAGCGCAAGACAATGACAAAGTGAAATCGATGCTCGGCGGCAAAAGTGACGATCGCACAGCAGCTCTATCGACCACGATGGAGATGCTCCTGGAGCAGGTTTTGAGTTCAGTTATTTATTTATTTGTTACTTGAAAAGTGCACCTGCTGTAAAACGGGGGATTTTTCGCTCTTTTTCAAGGAAAGCCGAAGAGAAATGCACGACCGGTTTTCTTTATTTTTCGGATGCACTTTCGTTCTCCGCCAGTTGATGAAAGTCGCCAATAACCTAAAGAAGAAACGAATCAGACGGATATAATTAATTTGAAACAAATTTTGCCTGAATGCAAGCGTCTTTATCATTTCATTTCCATGAATGTGGGTGAAAGAAATAAAGAAACATTCCAAAACATATATTAATGGAGCTCAAAAAGATGTAAAAGTCGAGAGATGCGTGCGTGATGCCGCCTTTAGAAATCCGTCTAATAAGTTTAATAACCATTCATTGGCCGAGAATTAGCCACGTTATTTATGGGGAGTTTGCCCAAATTATGGTTTAACTGCACAGGTGTGTGGACCATAAAAATTATTCGGGAGGGCCGCACTTTTGGGCGCGGGGAGAAGTTTAATATTTCCTTTGGGAGACAAATAAATCAAACTTTTACGAGCGCACCTCACAATTATTAATGCTGCATTAGCACCACTTAAGCAGTATTTATATGCACGAATTAACGAGGGGGTGGTTTCACGCCACCCCTTTTATTGCTCCTAAAAATTATCGGGTGGTAGAATTTAGAGCCAAAGTTGCATTTTGTAAGAAGAATAATTTATGATTTCAAGATTCTAAAAAATTTTCACTTTAATTTTATAACTCTACTTAATTGTTTTCTATTATAATAAAAAAATGTAAATCAAAATTTATAAAAACTAACAAAAATATTTGGCTCAGCCATTCTTGAAACAAGCAAAAGGTATAATTTTTACCCTACCATACCTATGCCTCATTTCCAATTTTTAAATTTAAAAAAAATAATAATTTTTAATGTTTGCAGAAATAACTAATGTTCATCAAACTGGTCTGAAAAATATATTGTTGCCAAAAAATTATCTGGAAGGAGGGTAAATTAGCAAAATATATTTTGACTTTTAACTGATTGCAACTTCAACCACAAAATCCAAGGAATTTCCATCGGAGCTTGAATTAAAGTTTTCCACCCTAGTAAAAATTTATTTAAAGAAACTTGACGCAACGATACGATGATAAAGCACTATTACCGACTGAAGCGTGTTTTCTTTTTTGCTTTAGCCATGCATGGTGCAGTGTAATTTTCGTCTGCCCAGATTGGTATCTTACTTAGGCTCAAGATAAATTATTTTCCTCGCCATTTGTCAATTAATCATGATAGGCGGGCCCTTTGAAGAGTGCCATGGAGTAATTAGAGCAGGCTTGAATGGATTGCATGCACCAGCAGACACACAAAAACCGACTTTATGGCCCGAAAGCCACCCTTTCGTCGCCCTGAGCGCAGGAGGAATCTCTCTCTCCCCGCGCTGTAATTTGCCCCAGCGATCTAATGAGGGGGATTACGGCAGGGGATTTTTCTTATTTATTCTTCCACCCGACCAAGGCGGCCGCTTCTTGGAAAGGCATAAATCTTCCCGAACCGAACTGCTGTTGTTCATCTTTTCGAAAGAAGTGTGAATTAAATTTATTGGCCGGCAGTTCTTTGATATGCAGTACTTTGATTTAAGACGTGTTTGCCGGGGAATTTTGGAAAATCTTGATATTTTGTGAGGAAAATTATGTGATTACAGGGGCGGAGTTGGAACGTGATATCTATCGACTTTGTGAGTTTGGAATGTGGAGTGTTGAGGCTTTAAAAAAACGAAAGGGTTTTATAGAGAAATACAAGAGAATTTTTTTGAAAATAAATAACCACTCTTGCTTTAGTTTGAAGAACTTCTCCAAAATTTTCTAAAAAAAATTTTACTCTAGCTACCTGTTTGAAATTTAATTTTTGATCAATAAAAGAAAGTGTTTTTGGACTGAAAGACAATTAAATTAAAGATGCTGCTTTAAATTGAATCAAACTTATGAGCTTCAGGATAATTAAATTATATCATAACAAAAGTCCAAAATTTAATTCATTACAATATTTTCATAGCCATTGGCGACACATTTAATGTTGGGTGTGCATGGTTTATTCAATTCATCTTTTCTTTTCTCTTGTGTTAAATTTAAATTAGTCACAGCTTAAACGTTTTCCTTAATTGTTTCTGACCACAAAGTGATGCAGAGTAAAAGTGTGATAATTATAGGATCGTCCCGCATCTGTTAATTTTCAAACGTCCTTTCTTTCCTTAACCCAAATTCCACTGTCACTGTTCAATGTTCAGCACCGAAGTAATAAAAAATAATTTTGATTCAAAGCAGAGAGAGCATAATAAATAAATTAAAACATATCCGAATCGTGTTTTGACCAGCGTGAGTTCTTATTCGAGAAAAGGATGCATCGCGCACGAGGCTATTCATTTATAAAAAAAAAACCATCAAGCGGTGAAGGTATGTATTTTAATAAATAGACCTCGATATTATACATGGGAAAATATCACGCTGTTCGATATTGATAATGCGATACAGGATTATTTATTAAAAGGACACCCCCAGCTGAGAGAGCGTCTCTCATCGTAATCGGTCGGAAAATCCTTTTTGTATTCTTAAGAGAGTTGGCACGTAATAAACACATCAAATAAATTACAACACCCCCGAGATGTAAAACTATATTCTTTTCAAATCAGAAAGAAGGGTTCGGTGGCTGCTGAGAAATTGACGTCTTGTTAGATTTTTAATGGAGATATTTACATGCTTTGATGATCTGCGGAGCATGCAAGAGGTATCTTTTTTCTTAAGTGATTATTAAAATTGAAATTCAAGAAAGTCTTCTCGCCGTTTGAACAAAAATTTTAAAAATTTTATTTATACTGGAACTAAATCACTTAATGTTAGGAAAAGTTTTGAAATGGTTTTTATTATACTAAAATTTACCCTCATTTAGCCTGCATGATATTTTTGCTTCCGATATATTTTTATTTTTTAATGTTAATATTAGTTTTTGTTATTATTATTTTTTTTTTTTGTATTGAAAAGAAAGAGACGAAAATATTTAAAGAAAGAAATAATAATTAACTATCGTCTTTTCTCTTTCCTCGGTGTTTTGCTTTCGCCTTGTACGATTAGTCATTCAAGTCATAAATACGTTTTATCAGCTAGAAAATTATTACCTACACACACTGTTTTGAAGAAACAAGATGTTTCCCAAGACACACACAACCGATTTGTTACAAAACGAGTAAAACAAATTTCCCCGACAGGGCCGAGTTATGAATTAGATTTTCCTGTTTGTCGTGCGCGTTTTTTAGACTCTCGTTATCGCAAGACATCCATCTTCCTTCCATAATATGTAAGCGATGTCTGATTCATTAACAAAAGGAGCTCGCCGCCGTTGCGTCATTCAAGGATGCGCGTTTTGGAAATGTATAAAAAGCCGCGCCGGCCGACGGATCTCTGATGTCTGGCGAGAGAATTATTTTTTTTATAGAAAAAAAAACGCCGAGAGCGAGCTGCCACCCTCTGTTACAAAAGCCGGAGGAAAATAATTTCAGGCACAAAAAAATATGGAATGTATAACGCTCAGTGGGGTTGATTTCTTTTCTACCTGTTCGCGCAGGGTGGCTCCCAGCTCTCTCACACTCACATAAAATACCCTATCGCGTAGACGGATAGACGCGGATGTGGACTTGACTTGCTTGTAAAAAATGTGATGCGCCTCTCCTTCATGCGTAATAAATAAATATCCACTGGGCTGCTAACTTTTCAATCCTCCTCCGTGGGCAGAGCTGCACACCGCCAGTGACAGCATCTGTCACTGAAAAGAGGTAAATTACACAAGGAGTTATTTTTTAGAAGAAGGGAAATTATAAGCTATCATTTGGTGGAATTTGATTAGCGGTTGGTAATATTTTAAGCAAACAAAATTTAATTTCATTAAAAATATACGTAAATATTTTTAAGGAGCTTATGTATTTATTTAATGTAATTGGTTTTAAAGTATTCCACATTTCACTAGTTTTATTAGATTTAGAATTTAATCAAAAACTGTCGAAAAACCGAAATAAGAATGAAAAAGAATCGAATTTTAAAAAAAAATACAGCTTGTTTATCATTTTAACTTCCCAGAATTTAAACTTACACTTTGTGAATTTTAAGCTACAAAAAGCTCCATTTTCAGATATTTAGGCAATTTAAGGCGTCCTTGAATTCGCGAGTCCTTTCTTGGACGATTTTGTCAATAGCTTCTATTCTATACCATACATTATTTAAATATCTCATAACTCACTATCCCAAAACTTACAATAACAACTTTCATCTGTATCAAAAAATTATGCTACATTGAGCTGCAATCATTGTTTATTATTTAAAAATAAAAAAAAAACGCTGTAGAAAAGATTATTTTAAAACATAAATTTAATCAAAACAAATTTAAACAAAAAATTAAAAATTGTTAAAAAAATTTAATTAATACAATTTTAACACAATTTGTGTAACTTGTAGTGTAAAATAAAATTAAAAGTTATATTTCATGTTTTAATTTTAAAGCTTTTCTTTTGTTTATAACTTTATCAAAAGATTGTGAGAAAATCGACAAATTTAGGAAACGGATATAATTGTAAGTGTGCAGCTCATCCCTGTACCCCCTCCTTCTTTTGGAGGGTAGGGGCACTAGGGGCACCGAGGGAGGGCGCGCCTGAGTGACTGAAAGCGCTTGAGAAGTGGTGGCTCTCAATCCTGCCAGGCCAGACTCAGTCCAAGAGAGAGAGAAGAGAGCCGCGCGCGCGAACGCGTCCTTCCACTCTCGATCGGGAAATGGGTCACTGGTGTGTGTCTGCTTAATTTCTCCGGCTCGCTGTTTATTTCGTCTCAAGTGGTCGTGGTGCGCGCATCTCGCCTGCCGCACCTGACAGCCTCACCACACACGCCCCGAGATCAGTCCGGCCCCAGGTGCGCCCCTGACAACAACCACTCTCGAGCAAGACGACCACCAAGCAGCACCTCCAACACCCCACTAGGAGATTTTCGCCCACAATTCGACACCATGAGGGTGAGTTTACATAATTATAATTTACTTAAAGTCCATTTCATCAAGGCTTACATGATTTATAAATAATTTTAAGAGGAACAATAAATTTAAAATCCATTTTCATAATTTGCAATTTTTAAAGAACTTGCATGGTAAGAATGATAAATCTCGAACGGAATTTAAATTCCAAAATTTCAACGTTTTTCTCCAAAAATATTTCTGCTTTATGGAATTAATTTTTCGAATAAATAAGATGAATAAATGGCAACAAAATTTAAAAAAGGACTTAACGTAATAACCATTTAACAACACCAAATTAAAATTAAAATATAATTTTTAATTCTGTTAGGTTAAAACCAAATGGTGTATTTCTCATTCAATTGTAGCCCCGGTGTGACTAATTTATTTTCTTTTTAATAACTAAATTAAGAAGTAACCAACTTAATGTAGAAGGACTTGAAGTATTTGAGAAGTTTGCTTTTTATTTTATTGAATTAATGAATTTAAACTGAAAGCATCGAATTGCATTGAACTCTGTAAACATAATCTTGAAACTTAAAGTTGTTGGTTGTACAAAAAATGAATCATTGATGATGGGTTTTTTTATTATGTATCAAAAGGATTATTGAACGCATGTATTAAAATGTATTTCTGTTTTTTCATTGCCTTTTTAGATGAAACAAAATAAATTGTTGGAAATTGTGAGAGATCATCAGTTAAAAACAATTAATTTACAATGTCTGCCGTTAAAATCTCCGCCCAGATATGTTTGAACATGGATAAAATTTTTTCTCTATAGCTATGTCAAATTTGAGGAACAATTTGCGTAGATAAACTTTTCCTGTAAAGTTTTTATCTCCTGTAAATTAGTTTGAATCTTTTATCTCCAATTAAGAAAAAATGGTTAATTAAGGCCGTTTTATTGACACAGTCAAATCAAGTCTTTTCAACAATAGGAAATATTTTATCAATAATTGGAAAATTTAACCACCATTGTTGCAAAGACAACATTGTTGCAAAGTCATGATTTGACTACGTCAATAAGGAGTAAAAAAACTTCTCAATTTAAGTGTAAATTTGCATTACTCTTAGTCACAAAAATTTGTAAGAATAATTCCTCATTCATTAATATTTTTAAATTTTAAGCAATCTGGAGTTTAAAATTAAAATTGGAATTCAAGCTTTTTTTTTCAAATAACTCTACAAGCTACACTCGTTATACAGAGCGAGTTAATATGCAATAAATAATTATTTATCAATCGGTTCGCTGATTTTTTTATTTTGAAAAGCAAACAGAGTTGAACGATTTTTCGCTCTCCAATTTGTATTTTATTAATTCTCATCTCTTTAATTAAACACAAGTGGAAAGGATTTTTTTTTATCAACAGGAGCATCGCGCAATTTTAATAATCGAAAGGCGGCTGCCTCTGTTCATCACCTTGAACTTGATTAGGTGAGCGAGCGAGAGTTAATCAATTTGAAAAATGCTTTTGCTCCTCTCTCGCCTCATTTCTCTCTCGCTTCTTCTCTAATCAAGCCGCAGAGTGCAGCATGAGAAAATCACTCACGACCAATATATTCAGCAGCCGCAATAAAGTACATACGCTACGTGCTGTACTCCACATGTACATTTCGCCAGAAGAGAGGAGGTTATACTCTTTCTCTCTTTGACGTCCGCCGCCGCGATCCGTAAACCACACATTGTTTTACCTCTTGAAAATAAACAGCACGATTTCCCCTTTGCTCGTAAATACATAAAAACACTCATTTTCAGATTGGTTCGATAACAAAAATAAATTTCCCCCAAGCTGAAACATAATTATAGATTCAATAGCCCTAAGTCAGAAATATGAGTCTCTTTTGTTTTAATACTCTTAATGTATTCATAAGCTACGGATACGTGAAAGAGAAAATAATACGAGATAGAAAAGCCTGCAGCCACACACGATGGGCATCTCTCTCTGCGTTTGGAGCTGCTTGACCCCGAGGTTAAACGTTATCAAATTTTCGGCTCCATAAAATTATTTTATTTAAATTCGACATGGATATTTTCATTCGGAGCTGCCTTGTTCGCACGACCGCGAGCAAAAAGGTGCTGGTGTTTGTGGCACACTCAGACGAGAGTAAATTAAATTTTTGCACTATGCACATCTTCAAAGCGGATATAAGGGCAGGCTTAGCATGATTTCTCTCGCGCCTCGTTTGCAAACACAAACATCTCAATGGGACTCTGTACGCGAGAGAGGAATGTGGTTGCCCGATTCTGGGACAAAATCTCTGGCAGAATTATATAAAATTATGATATAGCGATTACCATGTAAGGAAAGAGGTTTTTAAATTTTCCAAACAGGATCTGTACCAAATTTATTCTGCAAAATTTATTAAATTTGAGATTTAAAAATATAATTTCTCATTTTTTTCCCTTCATTTTTTATAATTATTTAATTTAATGGAAGAAGTTGGCCCAATGGAATCTGAAAAAAAAAAACAGGCTTCCAGTTCAAAAAATGTTTTTTTTAGTTTTTTTAGTATTAAAAAAAATCAACGTGACAAGGCCTATTTTATTTTTTTATTTAAATCTCTTCTAGGAAAGTGATAAAATTTGCAATTCATTCAACCGAATAGCAAAGTAATAAAAGAAAAACAACCTTTCTTTCATCTTTTGTTACCATCTTGTCAAAAAAAATTCTTCAGAAGTGTGGTTGTATATAAAACATGATGAGGCCTATTCGGAGGCAATTTACTCGAGTGTAACAATCGCCACTTTATAATCTCCACACTCGCCTAATATAATAATTCTATTATCGTTCAACAGCAGCACAAACTCGTGCACTGGTAGTAGCTCTCTAGGCAGATTCACGCTTCAACAAAAAGTAAACGCTCAAGAGCATTCACGATTCTGTTTGAGGTCCGCGCTTTTGCTACAATATATGTTCATCGTGATCGCGCTGACAAGCTCCGGAGCACAGACGGAGAGTCTGCTGATCAACATCTTTTCAGCCATTTCACTCCTTTTTTCTCTAAAATTTATGATATTTTATGATAAAAGAGTGCAAGTTTAGAGACTTTAGAGATATCATAATCCAGAGATGGTGCAGTTCAAGTTAAAAAAGAAAATATCAGATAAGAAACTCGAGCATTAAAAAAATTATGATTATTTTTAAATCTTAATATAAAATTGAATTTAATTATCATGAGTAGAGGGGATAAAATGCCTTTCCTTGATGATTTTTATTTTATTTTATTTTTTGTCAGCATGGTTTATTACGGTTAATATGGAAAAATGTCCTGGGCTCCAATGCAAGACTGAAATAGAATGGTTTTTTTTTTAACAAGAGACGAATTTAAAAATAAAAAAAGATTTACTGAATGGTGCATGTCAGAGATTGTAATTGGCACTTGATCTCTTTACACTGGAGCACTTAACATAATTATCTTTTAAAAACAACATTCAAAAACGCGAAAATTGTTATCATGACTGAGCAATTTTCGCACCTAGCTCTCCTTTTCCTCTTAGTATGGCACCTTTCACATTCACTCAGTGTGAGTTCACCTAAGTTCAACAGTAGTACTTCATATCTACAAAGGAAGCAAATTCTTGCAGTTCTCTTTATATAAATATAAATACATATTCGAAGGTCGTGATTGAATCAAATCGAGAGAGGCGTTTCTTTCTATTCACGGTAGAGCACAAACAAAATAACGACAAGAAAGAAGCTTCAATCAAACGTACGTACTACTGGCTTACTTATTTGTCGCATCTTCCGCAGACAAAACAAGACGCGTTTTCTTCGCTCATTTCTTATTCGATTCGCTGTGTGCGCCGCGCGTTCGATTATAAATTTTATTTAGGTCAGTAAAAGAAGATGCGTGTGCGTTTTGATATGGACATTGCTGCTTTTTATCTTGTCACCGTGGTGAGCAGCTAGAGTATCTCACCGCGGGTCAAGAGGTGACGGAAGTTGTTAGAAAATAGAGACATTAAGTTAAACAATGTTAACGACGGTCACAAAGGCGACCTGACCACCGAATGACCTCTTCGGTTTCTCTTATTAGCGCGAGATTTATGTGCGATCGTTGTGGTTTGAATGTTAATTTTCTTTTGACGGTGAGAAAAAGGGAAAAGAATCAGGGAGGAGAGAATAGGATGTATAAATCGTGGTTTGAAAGGCGAATGAGAAAATTATGTTAAAACTTTTAACTCTGATGGATTCATTTATGGTCTCAAAGAAGTGTTTATTTTTATTGAAAACCAAAACTCATCAAATAATTACAGATAAATACAGTTAATTTTGATTTGAAATGAGTATTATTACAAAATAAAACTCGTTAATGCAATAAATATTGGACTCTGTAACTCACCCAATGAAATTTTCATTTGGAGTTTAGAGCCCAGTTGACAACTTCTTGCGGTTCTAGATTTTATTTGCGATTTTCGATAAATATTTTTTAATATATATTAATTAAATTTTCTAATATCAAGGTTTTCAATTAGTTCGAAAGAAAAATTAAAATGATAAAAATATATTGTAAATTAAAAAAATTCTCAGCAGGAATGATACGCATTGTTGCCTCAAAAATGCGGTTGTTGATTTTTCCCAAAATATTTCATAGAGCTCTTCTGTCCGATTATTCAACAAACCCACCCAAACTTCAGACCCTCCTTTTGGAAGCTTGAATGAAGCAGGTCGCCGGCGGCACAGCTTCTTCTTCTCTAACAATACACCTGACCCGACCTCTCCTCCTCTGTGGCAGGTAGTGCATATGCACACGCAAAGGGACCCGAAATTACACAAATAGAAGGAGCAAGGCATGCGGTAATAATTTTAATAGCCTTCGCTGCATTGAATTTTCTTACTTTTTATATTTTTTGGAGCCGCGGGCCCGGAAGAGCGAAAAAAGGAAGAGCTGAGTTAGGCGGTTCTTCTTCAATTTGTTCCCGTCCCACATTTTCATCTTCTTCTTCTTCTTTGGACGGATGAAAAAAAGTAGTGAGGCCGGTATCGTCTCCCCATTGTTGT